ATGCAATAAATCAATATTAAAATTAACTACAAAATATAAGATTCTCTTCTCATGCATGGAAAAGTCAGGAAATAATAATAATAATAATAATATTAAAACAGCAAATAATTTTATGCATTCTATAAATATGGATAGATCAAGTAGCTTTTGTTTAATTAGTAATTATCTTTATGAAAAAATGCATCAAAAGCAATTTAATTCATTTGCCAATTTAATTGTTGCGGATATTATATTACATTACATTTTATTATACATTTGTTACAGAATTTTATGAATCATATATTTATTTAATCAAAAATTTTCCATCATATTTCCATGGCTGTAACATTTTATTTTGCTAGTATTTTTAATTAAATTTTATTAGCTTCTGTTTATTAATTATGTATATAACATATTGCATTTAATGCAACTGCTTACCAATTTAATTGTTGTGAATATTATTATATTTATGTTTCAGTATTTTATGAATCGTATATTTAGGATACTACAAATATTTATATTACCTACTAATTTTTCCATATTTCCTTGGCTTTAAAATTATATTTTGTAATTATTTTATTTTATATTTTAATAAATATATATTTTTCTAATTATGCTCTACTCTAAAATATTATATTACTTTAATTTGCTTTCTGTGGGTGAATGCTGTTGTTTTTATGTAATTTATTGTTGTTATTTTTTTTCATAATCAAAGAAAACTAAGTTTTTCAGAACATTGATATTTAACAACCAGCAGTCCGGCAGTGAATTTCTGTTTAACATCAACATCATGTGCAACATCAGCGCCCTCTAAGGGTGCTCTAGAGAAAGTACCTCAGCTTTGGTGTTTTCAGCACAAGCATAATTAAATAAAATATGACTTTCCTTTGTTGCAGAGGCGCGCTGGAGGCATATGTGCAGTCTGTCCGAGCCAGGCAGGGAAAGGAGTTTGCTCCGGTGTATCCCATCATGCTCCAGATGCTGCAGAAAGCCACAAGCGCATCATAAAACCTGCAAATAGAGTCGTCATATTAAAATATTGTTCATTATAGTTGATGATAATACTACACTCAGTCTTTATATACATTAGTTTTTGATTTGTTTATACTGGGTTTAAAGGGATAGTTCACCCAAAAATAAAGATTCTGTCATTTACTCATGCTTGTTTCTTTCTTTGAATATTTACTGTTTACTCTCCTTTAAGTTTTTATAAACCTTTATGACTTCTGTTAAAGACATTCTGAAAAATGCTGGAAACCTGTAACCATTGGCTTTCCTACTATGGAAGTCAATGGTTACTGGTTTTCAGCATTCTTCAAAATATCTTCTTTTGTGTTCAACAGACTAAATGAAACTCAGGTTAATAGGGTTAAGGTTCAGGTTAATAGGCTAAAGGTTAATAACAACTTAAGGGAGAGTGAATAGTAAGTAAATTTTAATTTTAGGGTGCACTATCTCTTTAATAAGACTAACAAATCTACATATATTCATATTTTTGGGTTTGCTGGGTGCATCAGAGTGATTTGGTAAGCACATGATGTCAATGTGTAAATTCTGATTAAATAATCTCATCTCAATCACAAATAGCTGATTCAGGTTGATTTAATTGCTAACTTTTTATCTCTTGACTTCAGTTTGAATGTTTTATACTAACTTTGCTTGTAGACATTCAATACAGAAATGACTTACTACTTTGGAGGACCATAAAGAAAAAGAAAGGATGCATTTAAAGTAATAGTTCACCTCAAAAATTGAGATTTACTCTCTATTTACTCACATTCAAGTGTTTTTTTTTTCTGTTGAACACAAAAGAAGATACTTTGAGGAATGTTAGAAACTTGTAACCATTGACTTCCATAGCCAGAAAAGCAAATATTATGGAAGTCAATGGTTACAGGTTTCCAACATTTTTCTAAATATCTTCATTTGTGTTCGACAGAAGAAAAACTCAAATATTTAGTGTGTAAATGATGACAGAATTTTTTAGCTTTGGGTGAATTATCCCTTTAAAGAAAGAAATGTTTTGCAAGGTGAAATAAAAACTATACTATAATAGACGACAGGATCTTTTTCAGTATTTGTTCCTTTCTGGATGTATTTATTTAACACATTCATAGAGTTAGGATTCATTAGCACAAGTTTAAAAGCAGACTAAGATAGGGATTTCACTGGTTAATATTATGTTTTATATATGTAAAATGTTTAATTCATACATTGAAAATCAGGGAATTATTATTATTTTATTTGTTAGTAAGGTCATGGAATTTGTTTTGACGTTTATAATTGTCCTTTACATTTATATATATATATACACACACACACACACTGCAAAAAAAGCTTTTCTTACTTAGGTTTTTTTTAGCAAAATAAAATAATCTTGTTTTTCGATTTGTGATAAGATTATTTTGCTTGCCCCTTTGGCAGATTATTATTAAGAAAAGCATTTTTGCAGTGTACATACACACACACACACACACACACATATATATATATATTAGTGCTTCACATGCTTTGCCATGGTTAGTCTTTTTTAAAGTTGCTTTGTTTTGAATGCAAGACAATAGCGACACAATCCTAAGTGAAAATTAAGATGGATATGTGAAGGCTTTTTAGACTGTGAAAATCAGGAAAAAGTCAGGGACTTTTCAACCCTGCATTACATTAAAATTCAGCTGTGGTTCTTCCGTCTGTCTTTGAAACCTCAAAACTATTTTCCTCTGCCACCAGGGGCCACTTCAACCCATCTTGCAATTTCATTTCTGCCTCCATCTTGCACTCTTCTCACACTGTTTTATTTGACCTACATGGCACAGTCCCATATTCCGCTGTTTAATATGTACAGTCTGTGGGTTGCCATCAGTGTGGCGCATCCTCCGAAAACTCATTCAGCTTCTCTTTCGGTCCAATTTTGCATAATCATGCAAATGTGATTCGCCCACTTGACTAAGCGCTCCTTGAGAAATTAAATTAATTTTCTGCGTGTGCCTCTCAGACAGACTGAAACATTTCACAGTCATAACACAGCAGCGTGTATTTTGGACTTATGCATATCCATTCTTGGCATAGAGATGACAGCAAAGATTATGTAATGTGATGAACACCCAAACAATAGCAAAACTTCATTAAGCCAGATTTCTTTAAGATGTAAATTAAGTCTTACTCTGTATTTTAGGGTACCTCAGACCTCACAAAAGCAGTCAGATAATCATTACCCTGAATATCTACACTCACCGGTCACTTTATTAGTAGCGTGTTGGACCTCTTTTGGCTTTAGAACTGCCTTTTGAGTACAGAGAACTCACTGTCATGTTCACTAGTCTGAGATGATTCACGCTTTATGACATGGTGCGTTATCCTGCTGGAAGTAGCCATCAGAAGATGACTGTGGTCATAAAGGGATGGACATGGTCAGTAACAATACTCAGGTAGGCTGTGGCGTTGATGCTCAATTGGTACTAACGGGCCCAAAGTGTGCCAAGAACATATCCCCCACACTGTTGCACCACCAGCAGCCTGAACCGCTGATACAAGGCAGGATGGATCTATGCTTTCATGTTGTTGATGCCAAATTCTGACCCGACCATCCAAATGTGGCAGCAGAAATGGAGACTCATCAGAGCAGGCAACGTTTCTCCAATCTTCTATTGTTCAGTTTTGGTGAGCCTGTGCCAATTATAACCTCAGTTTCCTGTTTTTAGCTGACAGGAGTGGCAACCGGTGTGGTCTTCTGCTGCTGTAGCCCATCCGCCTCAAGGTTGGATGTGTCGTGTGTTCAGAGATGCTCTTCTGCAGACCTCGGTTGTAACGAGTGCTTATTTGAGTTACTGTTTCCTTTCTATTAGCTCGAACCAGTCTGGCCATTCTCCTCTGACCTCAACAAGGCATTTGCCAGGTGTACCTAATAAAGTGGCCGGTGAGTGTTTATAGAGAACTTCAAAATCAATACTTTTTCTTGCTTTTAAACAATCTAAGATTTAACAAATAGATAAATTTCCGTTTAAAAATTATAAAAAAGGCTGCTAATTTGAGCACTTGTGTTATGTAATAACAACACTTGCTGTAATACACTTGTTGTAATGTAGTTCTCTGACATATTTGTTTTATAGTAAAGAATTATATCATCGACGATTATTATCTGATATATTTGTTTTACCTTTATAATAACAAATTATATCTTGAAATTGAAAAGCACTGGAAGAAACTACACTGGAAAAAGGTATTCATTGGATTTACTTAAACTATTTAAGGTAACTGCTTGCAAACAATTGATATGGGCTGAATTTAAAGAAAGTTGAACGTTACTAAATATAATTTCTTTGATTAATTTCAGCCCATATAAATAGTTTGCAAGTTAAAAAAAACATTAAATCCCATGAATCTTTTTTTAACGTTGTTTCTTTTAGTTCTGTTCAATTACAAGATATAATTTGTTATTATAGAGGTAAAACTAATATATCAGATAATAATCATTAATAATAATCGTTTCATTGAATATATTGAGCAATTCCAGATGTTTTATGGCTATTATTAGATATTATATTTTATTTCTATGCTATGACGCGTGTAAAACGTCCTTATGTGGGGGTAGTTTGTGGGTGTGGGGTTTCTTCTCGTATTTCTTTCCCGCGAGAAAACCCGTCAGCCGCGCCAAAACCCCACCTGTGTCAAACATCACCTTTGTTCCTGCCTGAGCTTGTCATTTCAAGCTGTCAGGAGACCATCTGCTTTTGAAATCGTGTCGATTAATCATATGTGCTGATTAATTATGTCCCCGCTGAGTTACAGATACGCCTTAAGAAACTTCAGGCGCGCCTTTAATATTAATCGATGCGAGAGCGCGCCTACAGCCCCGCCAACAAACCCCCACAGGCTTGGTCAGAGCGCGTCTCTGATTGGCTACAGTTGTTTCCCGCAGGCGTTTCCTTCTCATTCGTCCAATCAGCGTTGATAAATTTGCATAGCGGCTTCGTGATTGGACGGGAGATGTTGTGGCTCTTTAGAGCGCCAGAAAACAAGCTTTAGCGGGTGATTCATACTCGCCTGACCAGCGGTAGCACTGAAATAAGAAGATTACAAGCTCAGATCCTCTGATTTACAGAGAAATAATGCTCATGTGAAGAGGAAAACGAAAGATCAGCCTTGACACAGGATTTATTTACGTTTTTAGGATTTTTTTAATTACAAGGACGGAGGTTTAAGGTAAGAATATACCTGATCTACATCATCCATCTGACTTAAAGTTACGTAATGTAATAAAAATAGTATAAATCAATTTATTTTGTTAGTCACAGATGTTTATTTTAGTATTCAAACAATCAGAAAAGCTTATTATTTATAATAAGCGGTAATTTATATTCCATGTATAGCTAAACATCTATTATATCTAACCTATATACGCAAAGTGTAAATATATATTATATATGCACTTATATAATGATAATATAAATTATTTATAAAGTTAAATCGCATTGTTTATCTTCTTATAATATTACTGGTTTAGTTACCAGGCAACTGGTGGAGATATTTGCGCCCAAAACTGCCCACCGTCATCAGATCAGATCGCTCGTACATCATTAAATATACGTTTATAATATGTAATATAGCACGATTATAGCTATAAAAAAGTTGTACATAGAAGTATTTGGGTGTATAACTTCTGGCAGCACTTTCATTAGTAAGTTAGCAAACCTAGCATTACATCAGATCAGGGCTGTATATTACAGCTTTATAATTTATAAACATTAAGTTGTTGATGTTAAATGTTGTTAATTCAGTCAACACATGTTTATATCAATGTCATTCATGTATAATAACAATTAAATAAACGTATAACAGCAATGATTATGACTTATTTATTTTTCTTTTTGTTTTAGATGCAGGAGGTGAAGTGTTTAACATTAAAGGATTTGCTTGGTGTCAGAACACTGGTGAATAAGACAGGCTCAGATGATGCTGCCAGCATGAATGACCATAAAGTACGATTATCCAAATGCACGTTTGTTTAAATATTATGATGATAACGTCTCATTAGATGTTTACTAATACTTTGATTTCAGGAAAACATCTGCATGGACAGAAGGAAAATGACCCCACTGAAGAGCGAGTCTCTGACAGCTGCTTTGAATGGACATGGGAAGATTTCCAGTCCTGAAATCACCCACATAACCCCTATTAAACTCACTGAGAAGGCCCATCCGGACCCCTGGACGCCAACAGCGAATCTGAAAATGCTGATCAATGCTGCTAGTCCAGATATACGTGACAGAGAAATGAAGAAAACCCTCTTCAAACCCATTGAAAATAAAGGGAAGATTGCAGAGGAGGAGGAAGAGGAAGAACTTGATGACTCGTGTCAGGTAGAAAATTAATTAAAAAATGTGTTAAATTACAGGAATAGTTTACCCAAACTTTTACTTGTTTTAAACCATTAAAGGTTTCTTCTGTAAAAGCAAAAGAAGATATTTCGAAGAATGCTGGAAACCTGTAACCATTGACTTTCATAGTTTTTGTTTTCCTACTATAGAAGTCAATGGTTACAGGTTTCCAGCGTTCTTCAAAGTATCTGCTATTGTATTCAACAGAGCAAAAAACATCATAAAGCCTAAATCGAGAGTAAATAATGTGGAAATTTCATTTTGTTTGGGGGTGAACTTTCCTTAAATTGAATGAAATTAAAGGAATCGTTCATCCAAAAATGAAAACTCTGTCATCGTTTATAGTATGCACCCTTTACTCATTTCAAGCCTTTATAGGTGAACAAAAAAAGAAGATGTTTTAAAGAAAACCTGTAACCATTGACTGCCATTGTATTTGTTTTCCTACTATGGAAGTCAATGGTTACAGGTTACAGGCATTCCTCAAAGTATCCCGTTTTATGTTTAACAGAGGAAAGAAACTCATAAAGGATTACAACCACTTGAGTGAGAGTAAGTGTGTACGTTTCATCTTTTGGGGAAAACTATCCCTAAAAAATGAATGAAACTGAAGAGATAGTTCACTCACACATGAAAATTCGATCATCATTTACAGTACACACCATTTAATCATTTCAAGCCTTTATGGGTGAACAAAAATAATATATTGAAGAAACCTGAAAACTGGTAACCATTGCCTTCCAATAGATTATAACGCTTTAATGTTGACGATAATAATACACTTATTAGGGGAAATACATTTAAAATATTTGTTGTTAAAGTATTTGTTTTCCTACTATAAAAGTCAATGGTCACAGATTTCCAGCATTCTTCAAAATATCTTCTTTTTTTGTTCAACAGAAGAAACTCATAAATGAGGGGAGGTAAACAATGAATGATTACTATAAATCAGTAGTTTGAGTGTTTTGTCTTTCTTTATTCCAGTATGAAGCGTTAGACGAATCTGAAAGGCGACCCAGTCGAAAACAGAAGAGTTTGGGGCTTTTGTGTCAGAAATTTTTGGCTTTGTACCCTGATTACCCAGAATCCTCTGAAAGCATCAATATTTCCCTGGATGAAGTGGCCACATGCTTGGGTAAGAGAAAATGACTGCCAAACACAATCTGTTTATGGGTTGACCTTATTCTGCAATACAGTGTTAAAGGCATGGAGAAATCATTGAACTTTTCATAGGTATTATAAACATTTATAGATGAATGCATTAATCCGCTTGTTAAGTGGTGACGTGTTTGTGACGTATGTAATACTGTTTCCGGGTCCAAGCCGCCACTCATTTGAGTGGAGAAATCATTCATTTATGATCACGTTTTATTCCTATCACACATTAAAGTTAATTTGATATAAAATCATAGTGTACACAACAATCAATGAGCTTTCTGCATAACAAATACCAAAAAATTAACAATTTATAAAAAAATAATCACTTTCTGGCCATGGGATATTAGGCATGGACATATATACAGCGATCGTGATTTTCGAAAGCCTTAAATCGCTTTGTAAACGTTTATTATTACCATTTCATGAGTCTCCCCATTCAGTTGAATAGAGCGCTTGGACCCGGAAGCTGCTTCGCGTGACGTCACACTTAACAAGCGGATATCTGCACTAAAGCTTTGGACATTTAAATTCACACAGGGTAAAGAATAAATCAATATACAGTACAGTATCCATTAAATATTTTATTGTTTCATTATTTTAATTTCTGTAAATGAACTTCTGATTCATTCGCCTAATAACGACAGTTAACAATCAAACCACTTGCTCTATGAACAATTGTGTTTATGAAAATACATAAAAATAATATAATGTACGTTTCGTTTTAAGTTTTTAGGATCTCCAGCAGAAAAGATATCCAAAAATTCCTTTGTCAAGTTGTAAAGAAATCTGTGTTTTTGAAAGTAATGAAGACAGCAGAAGTCAATGATTCATTTGAATTATTCAGCCTGACATGTTTACTGCTCCAAAATATTTTAAAAGTTTTACAAAATAAAATATATTGTGTTCAGAGGGGGAAAAGTTGTTGTTTTTTTATATAAAAGAAAATAATATATTTTAAAGCAGTGTTCACAATACTGTGAAACCGTGATATTTTTATCCAAGGTTATCAAACCGTCAGAATGTTATACCGGCCCATGCCTAATTGAGAATAAGGTTCCAATGGCTGCGCAAACTCATTTATGCATTTGAACTAACAGCAAGCAATAGTATTTATTTGCACAAATATATTTTCGTAAAATCAAACTGTTGTTTCTCAATGTTTTGATTTTAGGCGTTGAGAGACGACGCATCTATGATATTGTGAATGTGCTGGAGTCTCTGATGCTGGTCAGCAGAAAGGCAAAAAACATGTACGTGTGGCACGGACGCTCGCGGCTCCCACAGACTCTACAGGGACTTTTACAGGCCGGTCGAGATCAACACTATGATTTACTGATGGACCAGAGGGAAGGGAATGGCCTGCATGCTGTCCAACACGTGCAGAACGCACACGGTAGGACATACACACACACACACACACACACTGTAAAAAAGTGATTAGTTACTTTACTTAAAAAAAGTGAGTAAACCCATTGCCTTAAAATCAACAAGTTGACTTTACTTTAAAAAGTGAGTAAATCTGTTGTAACTTGAAACGGTTATTTGACTTTACTTTTATAATTATGCACATAATTCATTTACTTGCTAATTTCACGATTAAAGTGTCATTTAATGTCCAAACTAAGTTAATTAGGCTTTTATTCCGGCCAAACTAATAGAAATTAGACTTTCTCCAGAATAAAAATATTATAAAAAATATCTAATGTAATTAGGAAAATATTCACAAGTTAAAATTTTAATAATTTGCAATTTAGCTGTATGTAGTCTGTATTTATCGAGGCTATCGATAAAGCAAAATATGCTTTATGCAACTGCATGTCTACCATATTGCACTTATACGGTTTGCTTTATAGTGAGGGTTGCCCCCTTAAGCGTCATTATTAGTATCTCACTCATTAATCGGTCACCAGTTAACAGCGTTTCAAGCAACACAACACCGGTTTCCAGGTCTTTGTGTTGGTCACACATAATCCCATCACAGCACAGTTGTCTCAGTTGTAAATGTGCCGTATTCTAGCAGACATGCATAGGAGGGGAACTCAAAGCTGCATGTTCAGGCATGTTTCTGTCTCTCTTGTAAGAGTGACCCGATTACACCACTTACAGTTGATGTTTGTTTTTGGAGAAACTGCATTGAATCTGATAATAATAGAGTTCATACGTAAATATAAACTTAAGCAGACATGATTTGAGATTTCATATAATACAAATATTATTTGTAAAAACTGTTATGAAAAGCTAGATTTCACTAACAAATAAGGGTAAATATTGGGTAAATATTTGTTCCTGTCAATAAAAAAAAAGACCAGCTTAAACCCTAGAGTTATTTTAGCACAAACTATTTTATTTTATAATATTTATTAATCGTTTAATTAATGTTTTTAAATTTTGTTTCATTAATTTATGTACATAAATAAATTAAAAAAATCATTTCAGTGGTACAAATTTGGTGCATTAAGTAATTATTTGTTTCTGTCAATTAAAAATTACAGGTTTGAGGTTTTTTTAGCACTAATTACATCATGTTAAAGTATTTATCAGTTTAATTAGGTCTTTAAATGTTAGTTTAATTAATATATATACAAAAATGAATAACGAAAGTTTCAGTGGTACAAAAACAACATGATTTAAATGTTGATTTACACAAGAATTGTTTTTCTTCTGATGTTTTCTTCTGATGATCTACACTGTTTGCATGTTAAAACGCTTTACAATAAAGCTTTGGTATTTAATTTTACATGCTTCATTTTTAAAACAGATTAGACAAAATAAATGAACGTTTCGTCTTTTCGCTTTTCTTAAGCAGCCAATGATGAAATAAAAGCCCCAAAAACTGGCTAATGCTGACACAAACCCCTATACTCTACAATGTTTGTTGCATAATACGCTTTTTCTGTGTTAAAATACTTTACAGTAACGCTCTGATATATAATTTTACATGCATCATTTTTAAAACAGAACAATCATTTTTTATCTGTTTTCAGTTTCCTTTAGCAGCCAATGATGAAATAAACCCCCCGAATGTTGGTTAATACTGACATAAACACTAGACTCTACCATATATTTTGCATGTTACTCTTTTTCTTTGTTAAAATGCTTAACAATAAAGCTAACATGCTTCATTTTTAACACTGATCAATAAAAATAAATATAGATCTGTTTCCTTTCGCAGCCAGTCATGAAATAAACCCCCCGAATGCTGAAATAAGCCCCATACTCTACCATATTTTTTGCATATTAATCTTTGTCTGTTAAAATACTTTACAATAATCCTTTGATATTTAATTTTACATGCTTTATTCTTAAAACAGACCAACGCAACCACAAAAATGATCTGTTTTCTGCTTCAGAAGCCCATAATGAAATAAAAGCCCCAAACATTGGCTAATACCGACATAAACGCCATACTCTACCATATTACTAAACTATTTCACAGTGTTTACTTTGCATTTGAGCATTGATATGGAAGCCTGCGTCGAGTTTGATGGCTTTATAAAGAAATGAAGCTGTTTTGCGTCCTGCTGTCCTCGTCTGGACCCTCTGATGTGCTTATTATTGTGTTCGTTGGCTTCATATCCCATGTGGTCGCTGTCACCAAGCAACAGCTTTCCTTCCTAACAAAAGCTTATTACCATCCCATCATGAGGGCAGGAGTCACTCGACCAGCCAATTCAGCCATTCATTCCTCATATTCAACAACTCTGATGTCCCCCTGCCACTCACTTCACATTTACACACTCATCCTTTATTCAAAAATGCAGATTCCTCTTCTTATTGAACACCACTATGGAGGATTTCCTAAAAGGATTAGTTCACTTTCAGCATGGACATTTCATCATTACATTCGAAGTCAGAATCATTAGCCGTCCTGAATTATTAGTCCCCGTTATTAAAAGACAATTCCAACACACTAATAACTGATACCATTTATCTTTGCCATGATGACAGCACATAATATTTGACTAGATATATCTCAACATACTAGTAATCAGCTTAAAGTGACATTTAACTAGATTAAAGTTAGGGTAAATAACAGTGTTGTAAGCCTGATGTCTCTTTTTTCACAGCCGCCTCCAGCAGGAGAAAGGATAAATCGCTCCGAATCATGAGCCAGAAGTTTGTCATGCTGTTCCTGGTGTCCAAAACCCAAACTGTAACCCTCGATATGGCTGCTAAGATTTTAATTGAAGAGGGTCAGGAAGAGTCCTACGACAGCAAGTATAAAAGTAAGACATCCCTTATATGCCAATAAACTTATCTTCATGTTTTTTTCCCATATTGATTGATAATGATATTCATTTGGATGTATGAATTGTTAATGCTAATCTAATGTTATTCTTCTAACTAGGGCTGCACAATATATTGTTTCAGCATTGATATCGCAATGTGTGCATCCACAATATTCACAATGCAAGATCTGCAACTTTTGAGTTTGAACTATAGTTGAGCAGGAGCCACAAAATTTTAATTACTGTGTTTATATGATCTATGGCAAACAAAAATACTTTTGTCTTGTTTCTAGTCCAAATATCTACATTTCAAACCAAGAATAAGATTATTTTACTAACCCCACTGGCAGATAATTTACCTTTTTTTAAAGAAAAACTCTTAATTTTGAATTCTGAAAGTGAAAACAAAATATTTTTTACTTGATTTAAGAGTTTTTTTTAATATTAAAACGAGACAAAACAAAGTTAGAATGGCATTTTTGCATTGTGATTTATTCAATTTCTGTACCTCAATAGTGTTACATAATCCGTCAAATAAAAACTGTTTTGAAACTGAATTTATATCACAATATTTTCACAGAAAAATTAAATATTGCAGTATAAGATTTTTCCAATATCGTGCAGCCCAACTTCCAACTATGACTAAGGCCACACAAATTAGAAGGTTTCTTTATTACATTTTAAAGTAAAGTCTAAAATAATAATATATATATATACATATTTGTCCTTACAAATTGAATTAAAAAAATAAAAGTTGTGACAAAAAAACGTAAACGAGAGTAAATGTGCTAAATCTAATCCTAAAACTATTATATATGTACATTTTAACACACATTGTTTTTTTACCTGTTTTATTTTTTTTTCTATTTTTGTATGACTTTAAGAGCTAATTTAAATGAGCAAAAATTTTTATTTTAAGAGGTACGTAAAATGTGAAAATTCAACAGTACTTAGCAAATGCACACACATTTTAAAAACATTTGTCCTTAAATTAAAAGCATGCTTAAAATCTTTTATTAAAAACTAAAAAGTTGTGGCAAAAGTAACTAAATGAGAGTAAATGTGCAAAGTGTAATCTTAAAACTGTTGTAGGCATTAATTTTAGTACAACAAAGTTTGTGACATAAGAAGGTGAATGAGAGTAAATGTGTAAAATGTAATCCTAAAATAGTTGTAAGCATCAATTACATTAGTTTTTCAGCTGTTTTAATTTCTTTTATTTGTATGCATGACTTTAATAGCTATATTAAATGTGCAAAATGTACAAATGTTACGAAACTTATTGCAATTGCACAAAATCTGTTAACTTTTTTCACAAAATATTGTTTATTAGCCCATCACTAATGTGTTGTAAAAATATGCATTTTTATTTTTATTGATTGCATGAAGCTCATCATTTTTTGATTGTTTTTGTTTGTCCAGCTAAGGTGCGGCGTTTGTATGATATCGCTAACGTCCTGACTAGCCTGAATCTGATCAAGAAAATTCACATGAGAGAAGAAAAGACCCGTAAACCAGTCTTCAAATGGATCGGGCCTGGAAATTTTCAAAGCAGCAGCAGTATGTTATGCTTTAACTTCTGGTAATGGTTTTTAGGGCTCATCAGTGTGAGCATATTGTAATTATATGGCTTTATTTAAGATTCAGATGATTTGAGAGGTCAAATCAGCAACTCCGGCACTGAACGACGGGAGAAAATGGCACGTCATTCTTCCTTCCAGGTCATTACTGCCCCTCCTGTCAATCAAAGACTGATAAGCTCCGCCCCCAGCACGCCTCACAGATATTCTACAGGTTTGGGCAGAGTGGAATATTTGCATATTTTATAATAAGTCAGTTATATTTAATATAATTCTGGTTTAATGCCTTGTTTATGTGTTTGCATCATTAGATGAGCCGGTGGATTACTCCAGGAAAAGCGGGAACAACAGTGCAGTGTGTCGACTGCAGTTTGGAGACGGGTGAAGATTTGTTTGCTTGTTTACTTAGTTTTAATATATATGCTTAAATATCACTTATAATGCATGTATATTATACATTTCTCATGAATCACAGGGAGAACATGCAATCTCCACACAGAAATGCCAACTGACCCAGCAGAGGCTTGAACCAGCAACCTTCATGCTGAGGCGATTGTGCTACCCACTGCGCCACCATGACACACCTATATATATTTCTATATTTTTAATACACGTTTATATTTTATTTTTATTATTGTAAAGCTTTTTAATCAACTACGGTTGTGTAAAATTGGCTCTAAAAAATGCCTTGCCTAGAGTCGATATCCTAATCAGTTAGTATCCTAATAATTAGTTGATTACTAATAATTTACTTGAAGACAATGTTAATTAAGCATTATCAGAGTTTTATTTTTAAAAACATTTTTGTCATTAATATTATAAAATATTTATAAGTTGTTTTGATTTAATTTTTTTATTGTCTATAATTTCTTTTATGTTTAGCATTTAATTTTTTCAATGTCAGTTTTATTTATATAGCACTATTAAACACAGCCAAAGGTTGACCATTGTGCTGCACAATACAAATCAGAAAAAGAAAGATATAAATTATAGCTGAGAAACAATTCTCACAAGTTTTCAACCTAGATTTAAAAACAGATTTTTGCTGTAATTTTAATTGATAACATTTTTACTGTATTTTTTATTTATTATTTTATTTAAAGAAGAACAGTAAAACTAACAAAGAAATAAAGATACAAAAACTTCAGAAAGATTAACTTATTTTTATAATACAAATGTTGTTTTATTATTTTTATTACGATAATGTGCTTTGGTAATTTTAATTATTGCAAAACAATTCCATTTCTAAATTATTTTTTTAATTGATATATATATATATATATATATATATATATATATATATATATATATATATATATATATATATATATATATATATAAAAATAAAGGGGCTAATGATTTTGTCCTTAAAATGGTGTTTAAAAATTTTTAATTGCTTTTATTCTAGACAAAATAAAACAAATAAGAATTTCTCCAAAAGATAAAATATTATCAGACATACTGTGAAAATATCCTTGCTCTGTTGAACATAATTTGGGAAATATTTAAAAACAGAAAAAAAATTCAAAGGGGGCAAATAATTCTGACTTCAACTTTATATATATATATATATATATATATATATATATATATATATATATATATATATATATATATATATATGTGTGTGTGTGTGTGTGTGTGTGTGTTTGTTATTTAGTTTAAATACTAACTACAGTCACACTTGTGTATTTTTATTTTTTTAAATATTAATTATTTTTTATAAATTATTATTAATTATATATCATTCATAATAATTCTTTCAGCTAGAATATGTACTTCAATTAGTTGCCAAAGCAATATTTAAAACTCAAATAATTCAAAATATCTCAACTATTATGTGATGTTTTTCATATTTTAAGATTTTTCGCACCTCAACTTAAATTCATACACTTGACAGTGATTTCTTTTTGTTAAGTAATTGACACAATTAAGATTTAAAGTTTGTGTTAGCATCACTGACCGTTGACTGGTGTATGTTTACAGTGTTCATCCCAGTGTTAGTCCTGCAGTTCCCTCTGCACTGGCGTCTCTAGCGATGCCTCTTCAAGCTGATCTGATGCCCGTTCCAGCTTCGTTCTCTCACCCGCTGGCAATCCTGCCGCAGACGCCCCTGCTCATGCTGTACAGCGGGAACATTTCTGACGGTGCCTCCAGCCTGAGAAAGAGGGAGAGATCAGAGGAAGACGACCATCAGACCACAAAATGCAGAAGACGCTCGGCATCCATAGAAAGTGACACAGTGGGTTCAGTTCAAGTTTATTTGTGTAGCGCTTTTCACAGTTATTTAAAGATTATATCACACGAGTCATGCACAGTATAAAAGTGCTCATACAACCTCGTAACCTTAAAATGAATAGCAACAAAAACAATCTGAATTATGAAGGAATAGAAGTTATGCAATAAGAAATAAAATAATATGCATTATTATGAGCTGTAATTGACTCTAACACACACACGTGTCAAACTCAGTTCATGGAGGGCCGCAGCTCTGCACTGTTAACTTCTAACCGTAATTAAACACCTGATCAAACTAATTGAGTCCTTCAGGCTTGATTGATACCTACAGATAGGTGTGTTGAAGGAGAACTAAACTCTACAGAGCTCCAGCCCTCCAGGAATTGACTTTGACACCCCTGCTCTAACATGTGAATGTCTGATAGGTGGAGAGCGAGAGCTTGAGCTCCAGCACCAGACGGTCTCCAGTCTGCTCTCCCGAAGGCTCTCCGTGGGACGAGGCCTCGTTCGGGGGTCTGCATGAAGATGATGTGGCTGCATCCAGTTCCAAAGACGCCCTCCTGTCCCCTCATTACCTCTATGTGCCAAACACTGCAGGTACGTCAAAACTAGTGCTGTATGTATATGTGTGTATGTGTGCATGCATAAATACACATATATAGACACAAAAATACATACATTTTAGTAAATAAAACATTACATCATTTGTATTATAAACCCACAAATCCATAAAAATTATTATTATAGAGAAATTATCATTCTAATAAAATTAAATAATTATTTGTAGTAAATAAAAATAATGCATCATTTGTATTATGTATTAATAGTTTATATATATATATATATATATATAAATATATATATATATATATATATATATATATATATATATATATATATATATTTGTAATTTCTATATATGGGTCTACTGTGTATATTTATTATACCTATAAATAATTACAAACATCCATAAAATTAAAAGAATTTTTATATATATATATATATATATATATATATATATATATATATAACAAAAATATACAAATTTAAAATATTTAAGCATTATATATAGATTACATATCAAATGATTAATCACATACACAATAAAAGTTTGTGTAGTCGTAAAGTGTATATTTGTTATTCGTATATAATTACTTTTTAATAGAAATCAAGAACTAAAAGATTTATTTTATATATGAATATTAATTTTCAATTATAAAATATAATATAATGTTAAGTCACGCATCGATTTTAAAACCTGGATTTTAACTTATAAAGCTGTTCATGGTTCTGCACCTGATTATATATGTGACCTGATATCTACCTCCTCTTCCTCTCGCAATCTACGTTCTGCTTCGGGGCTCACCTTGTATCAGCCCCGTTGCAAACTTAGCAGCATGGGAGGCAGGGCATTCTCTTATCGTGCACCTAAATTGTGGAATGCTCTCCCCACAAATATCAGAAACGCTTAAGAAACTTCTTAAAACTCATCTTTTTATTATTGCTTATAACTTATGAGGCCTTCTTTTAATATGTATATTTTATCATTATTATCATTCTTACATTTTTTTGTGTATTTTATGTTCTTCTGTGTGTTGATGCTCTTTTTAGCGCTTTGAGTTTGAGAAAAGCACAATATAAATACAATTTATTATTATTATTACTAATAAATAGTATAAAATATAAATGCTTTATATATAAATATAAACAAGCATTCTCTCAGATATACATGCATGTGTGTATTTAGATATACATAATGAATATAAACATTAATTTATAATGCAATTAACCATTTAAGAGCACTAATAAAATGTTACACTCTAACCACAGTGCTGTACAGAAGCAATGCAAGCTAATAAATAAAACATCTTTCCTTACCAAAAACAGTCAAATAAATACAGTATAGTTATAAAACTCACAGGATTCCCACAGGGCAAGACAATTCCTAAATAAAAAAGTCATGACCTAAAAACATCTTTCACACTCTTTTTAACTCTTCATCATCTTTTGTCTGTAGGTCTGAATAGTTTTAACTTCCTCCTGCCAGCAGGGCACGCGCAGGGTGGAGTGCCGGCCGTAGCCATGCCATATTTTGTGGTGCAATCACCACTAATAGCAGGTGCAATGCCCACATCCAGCACTGAAGGGGCTGCTGGCTTCAGTGTGCCCACCGTTCTGTCGCCCGCACAGTTTGTGATGGCAGGAGGAGCTTATGGTGTGACTGAAATACTGCAGAGCCCAGAACATCATGGGAACGTACCAGCCACAACATCATCACCACGAGCAGAAGAGAGCCCGAAACCAGCACAAACACAGGTACTGCATATGATTATTATTAATAATACTGCAACAATACATGCAGTTGCGGGCAAAATTATTAGCCCTCCTGTGCATTATTTATTATTTTGATTAAATACATTTTTTAAGTGACATTAAGGAATTTTTTTAAGTATTTCCGATAACGTTTTTCCTTCCAGAGGAAGTCTTATTTGTTTTTAAAACAATAATTGCACATAAAAGAGTGAATTAATCAATTATTCCTACTTCATACGGTTTCAAACTGTAACATAGTTTATCTCACCTTACGTTACCCATAATTTCAGACTCCTGTGACACCAAAGGAAGCATCGCTGGGGTCCAAATCTTTCTTCGAGACACCTGGGGCATTTGGGTCTCTCGTCAACCAATCAGCAGCTCGCAAACGAGGCTCCGCCCAGAGGAGGCTGGACATCGGGCACACCGCAGCCAATTAGATTCGAGTTTTCAGGCTTCTGTGGTCCTAAAGTGCCAAAGACGAAGAGCAGAAACATGACTTGAACAATACAAACATTTCCTGTGTACTAACTAGTGAACATCAAAGTCAGAGAGTGTAGATTACTATTATATTTCCCCACCGTTTCCAATAGTAAGCTTGTTTGTTGGCTGATTTTGTTAACCCCTTTTATTTATTATAATCTTTCAAAGGCTAAAATCATCAACAATCCAACTTCAGCACTACATATTTAAATAAAGTGATTAATTAAAGCCTCTGAAAGACAAAAACTAGCATCGTCAAACAATTAATCACGATTATTCGCATCCAAAAATAAAAGTTTGTATTTGCTAAGTATATTTTTGTGCATACTGTGTATATAAATATATGCATGACTATATTATGTCACTATTATTATGTGATTATATCGTAAAAACATACATATTTGTTTATATATATTTATATTTAATGCAAATTATATATAATACATATGTAAATATAATTACTTTTGTATTTTATGTACAGTATGTATGTGTATTTATACATATATGCATACATATACATGTATACACTATGTAAATACAATCTTTTATCTTGGATGTGCTTAATTATGATTAATAATTTGACTGAATAAAGCAAATAAAACACGCTTTCTTTAGTAATTCATAGGTAAAAGTGCCATATTGGAGAAGCCGACTTGCCTTATAAATATATTACATGATGCCTTCACTGAGAAGTAATGAATTTAGAGTACAATATGAGATAAAGAACGAAATAATGGTTGTAATTTTTAACACCGTTAACCGTTTGAGGTGCTACATCTGTAATATTAATAGGGAACAAAGACATACTTGAATAAGCAGTGAATCTGCCGGAGAGAAGCAGGATTATCACAGTACTGTACTGTTTGAAACTAAAGTATGTTTATGTACTGTGTTTTTTAGACTAGTCGTAAATTATTTTGGAGTTTGGATCGTATTTTACACCTTGTTGAGCTGTACAGTATTTACAGTTATTCCACTGTAACTCGTAGCATTGAATATTTTTGTATTTCTGTCAGTGTTTTAAATGAATGTCTGTGGATGTTTAAAGCTGCACTGCTGAATCTGTATAGTGCTTTCTGTTAGATGTATTTTTTTTATTATTTCATGTATGGACACTGTTGTCGTTCTAAATAAATATATGCAAAATGCAATATTTGTTCAATCTGTTGATATGAAGTGAACAGATGTGCTTAATCAGAGTGACCACAAGAGGGCAGTGTGTATATATTTATTACAAATCTTTTCTATTATTACAAATCTCTCTTTTAAATTAATATTTTCTATAGGATGCTCTACAATATTATATTTGTGCATATACATTAGATTAGTGTGTATCTTATAGATATGTGTCATATATATCCTTACAAATCTCTTTTAAATTAATATTTTCTATAGGATGCTCTACAATATTATATTTGTGCATATACATTAGATTAGTGTGTGTGTGTATCTTATAGATATGTGTCATATATATCCTCACAAATCTCTTTTAAATTAATATTTTCTATAGGATGCTCTACAATATTATATTTGTGCATATACATTAGATTAGTGTGTGTGTGTGTGTGTATCTTATAGATATGTGTCATATATATCCTCACAAATCTTTTAAATTAATATTTTCTATAGGATGCTCTACAATATTATATTTGTGCATATACATTAGATTAGTGTGTGTGTGTGTGTGTGTGTGTATCTTATAGATATGTGTCATATATATCCTCACAAATCTCTTTTAAATTAATATTTTCTATAGGATGCTCTACAATATTATATTTGTGCATATACATTAGTCAGTGAAAGCCAAATCTGGAGGTTATCGAACAAAATAACTTACGATAACCGTCAAAATAAATTTGTAGCTCAAATTTATGTTGGGGATTTTATTATTATTATTAATAATTAAGGAGGGGGAAAATCCAGAAAAACAAAAAACCATATAATTGGATTATATAGTAAATATTAATTATTTTTTATTTTAATATATTATAATTGTTATATAATTAATATAAATTTTATTTAATCTGTTGATATGAAGCGAACAGATGTGCTTAATCAAAGCGACCACAAGAGGGTAGTGTGTGTGTGAATATATAAATATATCACATACAGTATCTATCTTTTATCTTATATATATATATATATATATATATATATATATATATATATATATATATATATACATATATATATATATATCCTCACAAATCTATCTTTTAAATTAAAATTTTCTTAAGAATGCTTTTACAAGTGCTGAAAGTCAGTTCTGAAGCCATATCTGGAGCTAATCTAACAAAATATCCATCAAAAAATTAATAGACCAAATTTATGTTAGGGATTTAATTTGATTAATATTTGTAGCAAATAAGGGGGGAAATCCATATAAAAATATAGGCTATACATAATTTAGTGTATGTATGTGTATGTATATATATATATATATATATATATATATATATATATATATATATATATATATATATATATATATATATATATATATATTTGCAATATTTCTCTTGGATGTAAATGTATTATTTTTCTATTAAAGATGTTTGGTGACTTAAATATAATCTTAATCAATATGTTCGTTTAATAAATCTGTTTCGTTCAAATGCAGCAAAATATATATGACCTATATCAACTGAGAAATTGATAAAAGCATGTGCTGTTCATGTAGGATGTCTTAATGGGCCTATTGGTCATTTATGCAGAGCAATATATATGATGTATATGTAAAAAACTGATGTATAAATTTGATTTCTCATAATACATATCGAATAACATAAAGTTAAATTCGCTGCTAATGATTTTGTCCTGTAAAATGTTGATATTAAACTCATAATATCGTTAATTAGTGTATCTGTGTTTGAACACGTTGACCCACGACACCTCTTTTCCTATATAATATAGTCTTTAAAACGATTAAAGCAATTGTACATGACTTTTTACCTTTCAGTATCAGTTTCACAGTCATTCTTGGAATATAATGAGTTATAAAAATGCCAGTTTTCCGCTTTTCTTCCGTCCTCCTCCAAACGTCTGCAGAAATACCGCGATTCCGCGAAGAGAGCGCATCGATTTACGGCAGCAACAACTGCACGTTAGAACAGATACGGTTCCGGCCGGAAGTAACGAGAATTAATTATGTTGTTTATTAAATTACCGAACAGATTGTATTTTATTAACACCTACCCCACCCAAATCCTACACCCAACCGCCACAGTACTGTACAAATATTAATTACTGTTATACAGTGTTACAAAAATGATGCTAGACTTTACCACGCATGTGCTATTGACGGTAATTACGACAGTGTTGTATTTACGGTCGCGAATTCTAATTAACGAACACAATTTGTAGTTTTTTTTATTATAATTAGAGTCAAAATGATCGCCGTGTGCCATTATCTTCACATTTAGATCTCATATTTAATAAAAAAAAAGTAACAGTTAAGATTAACAGAGGTCTAAGAATTTATTCAAATAGGCTAGCATCAAAGTGCTAGCATTAATAATAGAAAACAAAGCCTCTAATTAGAAGTGTGTGAGGTCTGTAATAGTAGAAGCACTTAATTAATCATTCATTCAAACTAAAGTATTACTAAAAAGATTACTGAGAAGCATTACTAAAGATTATGACTTTTAATCAAAGCCAAGTTGATCACTTTTCTTATTTTTGTGTGATATATAAGCTGTTATAAGCCAAACAATTGCTAGTATTACTAAACATTATTTACATAAAATGTACTTAAAGTTTAAATAAGCTAAGTTAATCATGTTTCTAATTTTTTAAGTTATATAAGCTGATTTTAGGCCATTTTAATGTTATTTAAGTTGCAAATGGCTCATAAGTTTAATTTGATTTATCCAGTTTTATTATTAACTATAAGTCCAGTTACCTATATAACATTATCTAGTTAGATAAAATATACATGAATAAAATCTTATGTCAAATGACAAATATCTTATTGTACAAATAACATTTTTAAGCTAACATTTTAAGCATTACTAAAAAAATAAGCTAAACTCAAGCAAAACAATTAACTAGCACTAAAGCATTACTAAATAATTACGCGCATTGCTAAAATTATTTACATCAAATTTATTTCACGTTTAATTAGCTAAGTTAATCATGTGTCTAATTTTTAAGCCAGTTTAATGTTATTTAAGTTGCAAATGACTCATAAGTTTAATTTCATTCAACTTAAAAATGGTATTTTCTTAACAGTGTATTTAGTAACATAACATTCATAACATCCTAATAACGAGTGGCACGGTGGCTTGGTGGTTATCGCTGTCACCTCACAGCAAGAAGGTCGCTGGTTCAAGTTTGCATGCTCTTCTCGTGTTGGCGTGGGTTTCCTCCGGGTGCTTCAGTTTCCCCTACAGTCAGTGTGTTTGGGTAAAAAAAAACACACCCCTATGGAAACCTAAATAAGCAAATCCTACACTTTAATCTCTCACACACATGCCATTCCTCAGACAGAGTCCAGTTTTTCCATAAAAGGAGGACGGACAGAGAGTTACATCTGTTTTTCATTCCCTCTTTCTTTCCAATCTCGCACCGTTCATATAAATTCCTTCTAAAGGACATTCTGTGTTATGTGGATTACAGCTGCATGGAGAAACTAGTGCTGAATTTCACACAAAACACCCAAATATGCAATATGCACCGTACTTTTGTTTAGATTTTAAACATCAGACATAATTTTTATGATCTGGACACCCATTTACTGTTGCATACTTACTACTTATAACAGTACATAATTGCATATATTTGAATGTATTGAGTCAAGTCAATGTTTATTAATAAAGCAATTTTTAAAGTGCTTACCAAAGTGCTGTATACACACATCTAAAACAAAGGACAAATAGGCTATAATTGACATAAGATTCTCATATGGTATTAAAATCCAAAGAGTAGAAATGAGTTTTAATTTAAAAACAAAGAGTTGTAGCCTGCCTAACATGGAGAGGCAAATTATTCCAACGTTTATATTGTATAAGAAATAACAAATTAAGTTCATAATATAACAGAAAAATGCTGGTGGTTTATTACCAATACTGTAATTTACATCAGCCCAGACAGTATATCACTTTAAGCTATTAAAAATGTCAATTAAAAGATTAAAAAATGAACATTAAAAGTTGTTGGAGGAAAGATCAAGCTCTAATAATGTGATTCAAGAGCACAAATAAATAAACCACAGGAAAAAATATCTTGTCTGTCCGATATTAACATGCAATATTGATCTATTTGTCATTTTATCATAAAAAATAAGCAAGGAAAACGAAATTTCCTAATGTAATTTTCATGTTTTCCTTTAATTTTAATATATATTTTTGAATTTAATAAAATGGTAAGTCTTAATTTACTCATATTAAAAAAACATATTAAAAAGCATATTAATATCAGTAAAGATGCTTTTGTTCTGGTCTTTGATACAACTTTCCCATTCTGAAAAACTATATAAGACACAATGTAAACAAAGCTTAAGCTTTCCCAGTACTGGGTTGCAGCTGGAAGGGCATCCGATGCGTAAAACATATGCTGGATAAGTTGGCGGTTCATTCCGCTATGGCAACCCCTGATTAATAACGAGACTAAGCTGAAAATGAAATGAAAGTAAACAAAGCTAAACAGTTTCTGCCATTAACAGAAGGTTTTTTTACATTTACATTTAGTCATTTAGCAGACGCTTTTATCCAAAGCGACTTACAAATGAGTGTTTTTCAGCGAGTTTAATTATCAAGCATATTCGGTGTGTGATTATTATTATTATCATTATCATAAATTAACATGTAGAAACAAAAAAGCATTAAAATTATGAATATATCAATCAAATGAGGTGAAAAATAAAATAATGAATAACAAATATATAGTATACTTGCGCAGCGTACGCGTAGGGAACATGACGTAAATTGCGCGATCGTTCAGCCCCTGACGTCATCCGGGTGAGGGCATGTCTGTGTGTGTGCGCGCGCGCGTGCGTGCGTGCGTGTGTGTGTGTGTGTGTAAAAACACTCCTCCTTCTCTCCCTCTATAATTTCGTGATGACATTCCTGCCTGTTTGCTGAATTTCAGTCAGTCCGGAGCAGTTCAGAGTCCGCTGGGAAAAACACACGTCAAGTTCAGGTGAGAAACAATATATTTATGTTTACGGGTTATTATGTATAGGTTTCCTGTTTAATCGAGTCATCTTTTCAGTTGTTTTGAAGTAGAAAAGCCCTTAAACATGAACAGAAGTTCGCTTTGAGTTTGTAAAAGTGTATTTGGATTTGGTTATGAGCTGCTGGGATGATTATTTTACTTACAGTTTTCTTCTATGTATGACAAAACCACAGAAAAACAATCTGTCTGATATTTACATGCATTATTTATCTATTTACCCTTTCATCTAATAAATAAAGGAAAACAAAATGTCCTAATGTTGTTTTCATGTTTACTCTTTGTTCTCTTTAATATTTTTTATATATTAGACATTAATAAAATGCTTACCTGGCCATTCTCATTACAGCACACCTAAATAATTAAATAAATAAATAATCTAAGATAATAACATATTTCAAAAGGTGAACATTATATTAGTGAACATTGTCATGACTTCAAAACACATATTTCATATAAAATAAGGCCTAAAATAAACAAGTAATTAAAAAGGATTACATAAATCATAATTTGAGTTCACATATAACTTGTTTTCAGTTTAATATTAATCTGGGAGTAAAACATGTGCATAAATAAATGATCCTCAATGCAATGATGCAAGTTGATATGATTAATCTCCCATTATATATTTATAATACGCAAGTATAATATTTCCATTATTTAGCACACATGAAGGCCATGGATAATATTGATGAAAAAAAAATTGCATAAATAAATGATTCTCAATGCATTAATGCAAGATGATCTGGTTAATTTCCCATTATAATATTCATAATGGATAATACATGTACAATATTTCCATATGTGAAGGCCACGGATGCTTTTTAAAAAGAAAACCCATTGCTTGTCTTCTGCATTCACTCGTTTATTTGAGTAAAAGTAAACTTTGTTGACGGTTTATTGATCTGGGAGTAAAACATGTGCATTAATAAACGCTCCTCAATGCAATGATGCAAGCTGATATGATTAATTTCTCATTATAGATTTATAATATACAAGTAAGGCCATGGATGCATGGATAATATTGACAAAAAACAAATGTGCATAAATAAACGTTCCTCAATGCAATGATGCAAGATGATCTGGTTAATTTCCCATTATAATATTCATAATGGATAATACATGTACAATATTTCCATATGTGAAGGCCTTGGATGCTTTTTAAAAGGAAGCCCCATTGCTTATCTTCTGTATTCACTCTTTTATTTGAGTAAAAGTAAACTTTGTTGACGGTTTATTGATCTGGCAGTAAAACATGTGCATTAATAAACGCTCCTCAATGCAATTTTGCAAATTATACATTTTTCAAGCGTAATTAAAATGCTTAAATACAATATTTCTTATTATTTAGCATATTTGTACATGTTATGGATGCAATTTTAAAAGTAAAACCAATTGCTTATTTTCTGTTATCCTTCTTTCTTGCTTAATTACAGCTAAACTATTAAAAAACAAACTATTTTTTTGACTTGCTGATGTTTTCCAGCAGACGTCAAGCCACAAAGTCTATGAGCGTGTACCATTTCTTCATTTGAATATCACAGTGATCTGATAACATTTTATTTGACTAGAACAACCCAGAAAGTTAAAATGACCCACTGAAACGTCTGACTGCTGCTGTTTTATGCATGCAATTGTGTCGCGCTCTGCTTCCAGACATTGTTACTGCAGGGTAAATATAGAGCATTGTGTTTAACAAAAGATCTTCAGCTGTGTTTGTCTGTGATTGTCCAGTCACTCCTGGTGGTCTCCTGTGTTTTGATCTCGGGGTCTCCAGACGTCTGCAGGGTGTTTTTTTTTTCATTCAGATGGTTTTATGCAGGGATTTAATCAGTTTGTTGGCCTGTCTGGATATGGGTGTGTGTGTTATCTTGCCAGTGCAGTGCTCATTTTGACAGCAATTAATCTGCTCTATATTTAATTGGCTAAAATATATTTGGTTTAATATAAGTGTCATTTAATTATAATATTGTATACATTATTTAATCATTCATACATTTTCGTTCGGCTTAGTCCCTTGTCAATCAGCGGTTGCCACAGTAAGGTATTACAATCTTGCTTTTTCTTATTGTCTTCTTGTTAATTAACAGTTATCATGCCAAACTGGGGCGGAGGTAACAAATGCTGCGCCTGCAACGGGACGGTTTATCATGCTGAAGAGGTTCAGTGTGACGGGAAGAGTTTTCACAAGTGCTGCTTCCTGTGCAGTAAGTACAATACAACACTTTATTGGTCAGGTTATATCTGTGAGTGTATGACCAGAGCAGAATTTCATTGATCCTTCAAAAAAAAAATTTAATTATTATTTTTTTAAAAATAAGTTTTACAAATTTAATTTGTTTTGTAATATTTAATTTTATTTTAATGTGTAGAATTTAATTTAATTTTAATTGTGTAATTTAAATTTTATTTTAATTTGTGATATTTTAATTCATTTTAATTTGTAACATTTTTTAAATAAATTAGCAGTATTTTATTTTATTTTTGTTTGTAATTTTTTATCAGTAATATTTAAATTAAAGTTTTAATATGGTATTTTATTTAAATTTTTATTATTTTCATTTAATTAGTAATTTTTTTATTAGTAATATTTTAATTCGTAATATTTTTTGTAATATTGTATATTATTTAAGTTTGTATTATTTTATATCATTTTATAATATTTTAATTTAATTTATAATATTGTATTTTATTTAAATTTTTTATATTTTATTTAAATTTTTTTTTTTAATTAGTAACATTTAATTTAATTTGTAATATGTTTTATTTAAATTTTTATTATTTTATTTTGATTAGTAATATTATTATTTTTTATTTGTAACATTGTATTTTATTTAAAAAATTGTATTATTTTATTTTAATTTGTAATGTTTTATTTTATTTTATTTTATTTTACACCAGTTTCAATGGTGACTCTCATTCCAAGAAAAAAAATCCATCAGCACAAAGGTCAAGAAAAAAGAAAATAAATTGAATTCAATATTTTTACGACTTACGACATACTTTACAAGAATTAAGAAATAAACATTTATTTTATAAGCAAGTTCTTCTATGCCATTTCCATTGCTGCCCAAAAATACATTGTAAAATCAGCAACAAAAGTGAAATAATATGCTTATTAAAATATAAAAATGACAAATAAATTGAATATTTACATCATTAAATACATACTGCTGCAAAATGGGTTTCATTAGCAAAATATAATGCAAAATAAAAATAATAAAAATAGTGTACCTAATGGCTATTAAGTATATGCATATTATACAAATAACTTTTGCACATTATTCAAAAATGAAGAATATTATTATTATTATTGTTGTTATCATTTAACTAGACATTGCATATTAATTTGTAAAACTGCATTTATTTCATTGCATTTTATATTGAAATAACTTTTGGATTGTCCTGCAGTGTGTGTATGTTTGTGTGTATTCGTGAACATGTTTTCCTGAACTCTCTTCACAGCTGAACGCACATGCTTCACATTAGAGCTTTGCTCCCAAAATGGCAAAAACAATGGAGCCCACATGAGCTGTTTATCCTCCGAGAGCCACAAAAACCATCCAGTTTCCACATGGACCAACAGCAGCAAATAAACAGCGCTGAAACTCTTCCTTCTGTCCGTGTTTTTTCGCCACAGCTCATTTAGAAGTAGTTTTTCAGCAGCCAGATGTGGACGGTCATCTGATGTTTATACGTCATAGAAAAGAAAACGTATGAATAGTAAAGTGCGTCATGCTTCCTCGTGTCTCTCTTCAAGACAAATATCACATATAAGCCAAAGTCATCTGACAAAACACAGTCAAAACCACATGATAAACACATTCTAGTCTGTAATTATGGAGTTAAATGGTAGATTGTGAACGCATGACTGATTATTATTGCTCATATTCCTATTTAAGGGTTTGTTTGGCTCTTTAACCCCAAAAAAGATGCTGAATTTAGGAATTATTTATCAGTAGTAATGAATTATAAATGTAACATTAGATTATGTAATCAGATTACAAAAATCCAGTACTTGTATTTACTTTTACAATAATTGTAATCCGATTAGTTACTTTTTATGGATTACATAATTACATATTATAAACATACTAATCGTTCACATTTCACCAGTTCTTCTAATTTTAGATGCTTTTAAAGATTACTATTTTACTGCCAAAATAATACAAGACTATCTTATTTCAATATAAATGACCTCAAATAAGGGTTAGCACAAAAGTAATCTAAATGTAATCCAAAAGTTACATTGATAAATCATGAACAAATGCCCTATTATTATTGCATTTAAGGGTTTGTTTAACCCTAAGAAAGATGTTTGTTTTTCCATGATTATTAAAAAAAGGAAGAATTTAGGATATATTTATATGTACTAATGCAGTGGTTCTCAAACTTTTTTCATCAAGTACCACCTTAGAAAAAAATTGTCTCTCCAAGTACCACCTTACGACGCTATTTTTTAACCAGTTTTAAAAAATAGCGTCGTAGGCCAAATTAAGCAGCTACAGGTGTGCACAGTTTAAAAACGATGCAGATTAATTCCTATTATTAAGAATATGTATTATTATCATTCATTTTAAACATTTGAAATAGTCTGAACATTAACTGTGCTTGCAGATAAAAAAAAAAAGTTTTTGTTAAAATGTGCTTTTAAAAGTTCATTAAAAAATGGCGCTGTTCTTAAAAAGTAAAAAGAAAACTGCTGTACTTAAATCTAAAGTATTCATTGTAGCCTATTCATCAAAAGCTGGAGATGTTGCTCGGACCTTATAAATATAGGCTATATGTCATATTCCTACACTTTCAGACAAATCTTGAAATATGTTAAATGTACATATGACAGGGTTCATACAGGCACAGCCTAATAAAAAATCAATTACAGCACCTATTTTTTTTTTCAAGACTGACATGCTATGTATTGAAGACCTGAAAAGTATTCTCAGCAACCCATAAAACATTGCATAGGAATAGATACAAATAAAAAACATAAAAAAATAATATTTATTGATCATATTATTAATAATATAATAAACCTGCACTAAATGCTTGAGAAATCTTTTTTGTACTCAAGTAAAAATACTATTACACAGCTAAAATAACACAAATTTTAGTAAATAATATTAATATTAGGTAAAAGTACAAAGTACTCTTTTAAAAAGTACTAGTTGGTTACTTTTGAAAAAAAAAATCTGATTTTCATTATGAAATCACTTTTTTACTTGGAAACCTGATTGAATGGTTTAATTGCTTAAATACCAAAGCTACATGTATAGGAAATTACACTAACAAAGAAAGTATGATCGATTTTTCCTTTCATGACAATTAATCTTTTTCAATATCACTGGTAAAACTACCAAATAATCTTTAAGGCCATAGAGACACTTTTTGCCAATTTTTTAAACGATATTTACAAGCTTTGAAAGGTTTAATTGAAGTATATGGTAAAAAGATTTAATTTAGCCCTTTATTTACATATTTTACACTATTTTTCTTTACAATATGGCAAATTTGTTTCTTAAAAAGCTGTACATCACATGTAGATTTTATTTTACATTTAAGCTAATCTAAAATAGAAACTTTAAAAAAAAATACAAGTACACTGTCAGTAAAAAAAAATAAAACAAATGACTTCATTTTACTTGAGGTATTTAAAATATGACAACACTACATTTATCAAAGCAGTGCTTTAAGAGCCTTATTGTTAATTTTGATAAATAAACAATAAGTAACAATGGATTGCTTTGACCTGTAATGCTTTAAGACAGATCAGAATACAGCTAAATGTGTAAATCACACAAATACCTCATCCAGAAACATTCCCAGCATAATTAATTTGTCGTAAAGAAAAAAAATAAAAAAATACACCTTTGCTAAAAGTAAGTTTCACTTCACAACACAAATAAGCCAAATAAGACCATTAGCATTGTCATCGATCATGTATCAATCTATTTCTTAATACTTGATTACTTTGAATACTTTTGACTAAATTTAGTCAAGGAACAATAAATAATGTCTACTTTAATAGTGGAAAGATCGCGATTGTATTCAATCTGAGCACACAGGCGATCCTGAGAGGACTTGCAGTTCATTTGAAAAAAAAAAAAGCCTATTTAAGAGCTCGCATATCTGTTTTAGCGATTTGCGTACATGAATGCGCTCTCGTGTTAAAATATAGCACTCGCCACATTTGTAGAAATGAGTAATTGCGCAATACCTTCATTCCCGCGCCGCCATTCAGAATGTATTTAGAGGAGTGACAGGTCAGAGGCGAGTCGACTCGCTGTCGGAGAGCGAAACGTGTTTGTAGATCATCAAAAAGGCAGGAAATATGTCCGCGGTTTAATTGCTCTGCTAGACATCTCGATAGTGAAAACATCCGAGAAGCATTATTCCAACAAAACATTTGTTTTTAAGTTGTTTTTTCTGTCTCTGCAACACAGAAAGCATTCGTCCCGCCCTTACGTTTCACGCAACTAGACAAGGTCGACTGTGATTGGCTACTTTTTTATGTCAGTCAAATCACGCTTCAGAATCAATTCTTAAACTTCGGAAACTGATTTATAGCAGCTTATGACACAGTGCACTAAAGTAAACATTCTAAGCACAGCGTTGTGATCGTACGCTTCACAAAACAGCCAATGCTGATCACATCGATGTTATATTAGGCATTAAAGGATTAAAAGTGTTAATTGTTTCTTTCATTATTCAGCGGTTCCTCCGCGTACCACTAGGAGGAAGCCCGCGTACCACTAGTGGTACGCGTACCACAGTTTGAGAACCACTGTACTAATGGATTATAAATGTAATCTGGATTACATAAAGTTCAAGTATTTGTGTAGTTAAAATAAACTAAACTATTTAGAATACTTGTAATCAGACTACAGCTACTATTTATGGATTACATGATTACACAACCACAGTACACTGTTTATAAATCATTGATTCCCCTATTTGTTTTAATACATTTATATATTTCTTCAACATGAGCCTAATACTTTTATAAATTTGCTTCAGATGAACATTTAATCTAATATTATAAATATAATCAAATATTTGATGTAACTGATATTGTTGTCAGTTTTTTTTCCTTCCAAATTTGGTCTTCGTAAATGTACTTTTATTAAAGTAAATGTTTTAAAAGATACGATTTAGTTTTATTCAGTCACATATAGTCACAAGTATTATCTGTCCGCCATAGACTTTAAAAAGAAGCTGTTGAGGCTGATAAAAAATGAATTACTATTATTTTTGTTTCCATCAAAATGCAACACGATTATCCTACTTTAATATGTGACGTCAAATAAGGATTTGCACAAAAGTAATCTAAATGTAATCCAAAAGTATTCAGATTACGTTTGCATAAGTGTGTAATCTACATTATCGACTACGAATGCTGTCATGTAATTTGTAATCAGTAACTGAATGCAATTTATAATCAATCAACTCCACTTTATCAGTAGTTCAGCATTCATCGTTTTCTTAAATGTGTGTGTTTTTATTTACAGTGGTCTGCAGGAAAGGTTTAGACAGCACTACTTTGGCCATCCATGATCAGGAGATCTACTGTAAGTCCTGCTATGGTAAAAAGTACGGGCCGAAGGGATACGGCTATGGTCAGGGAGCGGGAACGCTCAACATGGACCGCGGAGAGAGACTCGGCATCAAGCATGAAGAGTGAGAGCTAGAAGTGAACTATTATGCTTATTACATGGAAAATTATTCATGTTTCTGTTTAATGCATGTCTTATTTATGCAAATCTGTTAAGGAAAAGGTGATTAAAACTATATATAAAGTTATAAAAAAATAATAAAAAATTTGATGGAATTGTGTTATGGAAATACAAAAAGCATATATAAAAATATATTCAGCTTAATATAATAAACTGAATAAATATTATATATTTTTCATTTAGTTTTTAATTATTATAATATATATTAAAAATGCAAATATATAAAAAAGTAAATTATAATAATATAAAAAAATGCAAAGCTTGAAATCGAGTATTATTTATCTTCATGCATGCAGGTCAAAAATATATATTATTATAAGTTTAATGATTACTTAACTGCTACAATGGAAAAAAATGCTTAATTTCTCATGTATGCATGTCAGAAATTAATATTATTAGTATTGTTAATGATTCTAAATTTTTATGCATGCATGTCAGATATTAATATTAGTATTTTTTGTAATTTATATAGTGCATGTCACAAATGTATTTTAGCATTTTAATGTTTACAAATATATAAATAAAGTAAATTATAAAAATATTTTAAAAATCTAAAGCTTAAAATTCAGTATTATTTATCTTCATGCATGTCTAAAATCAATACTATTAGTATTGTTAATGATTAAATAACTACTGCAACAAAAATGCAATGCTTAAAATTTCTCATGCATGCATGCCAAAATTTTATATAAGTCTTATTATTATTTATTTTATATTACTGTTATATTATTATTATATTATTTATTAACTACTGCAACAACAATCCAATGCCTACAATTCATGGATGCAAATCAGAAATTAATATTTTTAGTATTAATAATGATTATTTTACTAATGCAACAAAAAATGCAAAGCTAAAAATAAACATTATTAGTATTATTAATGTTTATATAACTATTGCAAAAAAATGAAATGCTTAAAACTTGCATGCATGTCAAAAAATGAATAATATTACTGTTTATATAACTACTGGAATTAAAATTGCAAAGTTAAAAAATCTTTATGCATAGCAAAATTTTAGATTATAAGTATTAATAATGATTAAATAACTACTGCAACAAAAATGCAAAGCTTAAAATCCATGCATGCATGTCAGAAAATTAATATAATTAGTATTATTAATGTTGATATAACTACTACAATAAAAATGCAATGCTAAAAATTCATGCATGTCAGAAATTTTAATTATTAGTATTAATAACGATTAAATAACTACTGCAATAAAAATGCAATGCTTAAAACGAATAGTATTAGCATGGTTAATGATTATATAGCTACTGCAACAAAAATTCAATGCTTACAATTCATGCATGCATGTCAAAAATGAATATTATTAGCATTATTAATGATTATATAACTACTGTAACAAAGATGCAATGCTTAAAATCGGCTATTATCTTTCATGCATGTAAGATGTGTTCAGTCAGTGTGTTTTGTGATATCAAGCCATCCAGTAGTGCTGAACTGTGGCGTCAGGTGATGATGCTGGTTATGAAAGAATGTATTATGTAATCAAACTCCAGGCCTCTTCAAACACACTCACCAGCACAAAGCAGCCCTTCATCAGGAAAACAGCATCTGATCTCTGTGTCTCCAACAGGACACACACTCACCGGCCCACAACCAACACAAACACGTCCAAGTTTGCACAGAAGTTTGGCGGATCAGAGAAGTGTGCGCGATGTGGAGACGCGGTGTACGCGGCCGAGAAAATCATGAGCGCTGGCAAGGTGAAAACCTGGACGTTAAACACACATTTATTAATGCACATACTGTTATTAGCACTCATCAGTGGGAGACGATGACTGATCAAGTGCTAATGCTGCAGAAGAAATATGGGATTATATGGATTTATTATTGTTTTTAAAGTTCTCACCAATGCTGGAGAAGAAATGTTATGTATATTTTTCATTATTTTAACTTCTAACCAATGCTGGATAGGAAATATTTGTTTATATTTATATATTATTGTTTTAAGTTTTCACTAATAATGGAGAATAAATGTTTTATTATGTTTATTTATCATTATTTTAATTATTAAGCTTGATTGTGGGCTGGAGAGGAAATGTTTCAGTATATTATAAATTATCATTATATTAAAGTTCTCACTAATGCTGGAGAAGAAATGTTTTGCTATATTTATATATTATTATTTTAAGTTCTGGAGAATAATGTTTTATTATGTCTATCAAACATTATTTTAATTTAAAGGTCCCAATAATGCTGGAAAGGAAATATTTTATTTAGAATTATTTAAATAAAATTGCATTATTATTTCTTTTTACATAAAAAAATACATTATGAATGTCTTTTTTTATTTAATTAAAAAGCCATTAGTTTTAAATCTCATTACTGCAACCTTCATTCAAAAGAAATAAATAAAAAATTATAAATAAATATATATATATATATATATATATATAAAAAAAAAATATATATATATATATATATATATATATATATATATATATATATATATATATAATATATAAAAAAAAAACACAGAAAAAAATATTCTATCTGAATATTAACAAAAGCCTTTCTCCAGAAGAAAAAACACATGTATATATATCCTCCTGAGACTCCACCCATTGACGTGTGTCCTCTGTAGTGGACATGTCTAATCAAATGGGAATCATAATTGAATGTGATATCAGTGTCACAGTAACATCATCACCTGTATTATTGGGTTGAACACACAGACGTCTCTTCTTTCTGGTCTCCTTTGCACCATAATCGGTCTTGTTTTTGTTGGATCTGCATGAAATCATGAGCACTTGATGATGATGATGTCTCTGCTTCTTCTCCTCCAGCCGTGGCATAAGAACTGCTTTCGCTGCGCCAAATGTGGGAAGAGTTTAGAGTCGACGACGCAGACGGAGAAAGATGGAGAAATCTACTGCAAAGGTCAGAAGACAAACAGTGCACAACACTAAACTGACTACAGCATAGGTCTCAAACAGAATTCCTGGAGGGCCGCAGCTCTGCACAGTTTTAGTCCAACTCCAATTAAACACAGCTGACAGACTAACCAAGGTGTTCAAGACTAAAGACTGTAATGCAGGTGTGAGATGGAGGTAAACTCACTGTACATTCATAAATAGCTCCATACACTAAAGATGATCAGTGAAAGAGTATAATCGGGCATTTACGGCATCATGACGAACATCCCAATCTCTTTAAGGTGTTTCTCAGTGTTTTGAGAGCAGTATTTGTTTGTTTGTCTGTCATACACACCACACAGGGTGTTTCTCTGATCAAACGCCATGAGCAGAACCCAAAGCTTGAATAACTGGATTAACAAGAAACTCTTGAAACTTAAAACAGTCTGATCTGAAGTGCTGATGAACTTTCTATAAGCTTCAGTTCTGGGTCTCAAACATTCACTGATTAACTAGTCACGCTTGGTTTCTTCTCTCTTTCTCTTTTTCAGCATGTTATGCAAAGAACTTTGGACCCAAAGGATGTGGATACGGTCAAGGAGCAGGAGCTCTGGTTCACGCTCAATGACAGTCCTTCTGTTTTGTAAAGGTTGTTAATAATTTCAAGATAATGATTATTTTGCATAAAGGAAAAGAACTAAAAGATAAAGGTCATTTAAGCATATTTGGATAAAGGAAAACAACTATTAACAACTATTATAAATATAACTTATTATATAATTTAACTTGTAATATAATCAATTAAATAAGCACAATAATACATTAAAATAATGAGAATTTGCAAAAAAAATAGCATAATTAAATTTTTTTTGTGTGAGACAATAAATTAAACTAAAAACTACATTAAAATAATGAGAATTTAGGATAAATTCCATTTAATTTTAATAAATGTCTTTTTTTGGTAATACAATAAATCAAATAAAAAATAATACATTAAAATAATGAGAATTTGGGATAAATGTTACAATTAATTAAAATTTAATATATTATTTTTGTAATACAATAAATAAAATAATGAAAATAATACTTTAAAATAATGATAACTTTGAAAAAATGGCAAAATTATTTTTAATTAAATTAAATGTTTTGTAATACTATTTAATTTATTGTATTGCAAAAAATGTCATTTAATTACAATTAATTGTGGCATTTTCCCCAAATTATCATTATTTTAATGTATGTATAATGTAAAATGTTTTTCTTGGTTATTTATTTAACAAAATAATACGAGAAATATTATTATTATTAATAATAACATTCAAAATAAAATTTAAAATAATAAAAAATTCAAAATAAAGAGTTTAGGAAACATGCCACAATTAATGTTAATGTAATATAAATATTTTTGTAATACAATAAATTAAATAAACACAATAAAATATTAAAATAATGAGAATTTGAGAAAGATTCCACAATTTATTTTAATTAAATGATTTTTGGTAATACAAATCAAATTAAAAATAATTCATTTAAATAATGAGAATTTAGGGGGGAAATGTCACAATTAATTTTAATGTAATATTTTTATTGGGTAATACAATCAATTAAATAAACAATAACACATTAAAATAATAGGAATTTGGGATAAATGCCACAATTAATTTTAATTAAAATGTTTTTGAAATACAATAGATTAAATATGCAAATTAATAAATTAAAATAATGAATTTTGGGGGAAAATGCCATAATTAATTTGAAATAAATATTTTTTTTGAAATACAATAATTTAAATGAACAATAATGCATTAAGATAATAATGATTAGGAAAAAACCCAATTAATTTTTATTTAATAAATTGTTTTGTTAGACAATAAATTAAATAAACAAAATAATACATTAACATAATGAGAATTTGGGGGAAAAAGTCACGATTATATATATTTTTTTGGATTAGAAAGCAAAAACATTTTTAATTAATTGCTAAGAAAATTTGGTTCATTTTCTTTATGCAAAATATATACATTTTCAAACTTCACCAGACATTAATGTTTAATATTCAGTAATACATGTAGCATGAGCATTACATAAATAAATGTTCAGTGTTCAATTGTGCTGCTTGTTCAAACTACAAACTACTAATTACGTTAGATTGTTTTAGTCAAACACTCAAAAAATAATGTTTGCTACTGTTTTTTGGAGGAAGCTTAATTGTTTTAAGTTCAATCCACTTAAATTTGTAAAACAATAATTACATGTATGTTTTCTGTTCAAACTACTTATTTAAATTGAGCTGAAACAACACACCTCTGGAGTTTTTTTTAGGGGGATAACTTAATTGTTTTAAGTTCAATCCACTTGAATGTGTAATAACTAATGGGTTAACTTAATTCCGTCAACACAAATCGATTGTAAGGCACCCAGCCTTATTTACAATGCAAAAGAACCCCTTGATTTAGTTGACTTGCATTGAAAACCATGGCCTTTCACTGTTTGAATGTTTTATTAATAAAGCCATTAAAATTGAACCATGCCCAATAAGTTACATCTGAAGCAGAGTAGGGTGACGTCCTGATCTCAGCTGAGGCACTGGAGATGAGCATGTGCTTTTCACACGGAGGGGAAAACAGCCGGCCAAACCGTAAAGGCATAGGAACAATATGTGAATCTCTTCTCTAAAAACGGTCACATGGATAAATGACTGTGCCTAAAATCCCAATATTACAGTATACGGGGGCCCGTCCAGTGATGACGCCATCACTAAATGCCCACAGCCGTTTCGTACGTCTACTTCTCTGGCATTTACAATTTGTACATCCAGTGGTACAATGAATACAAAAAAAAGAGGGGGGGGAGGGTTGGATATTAATGGGACATTCAGATATAATACATCTGATCAACGCAGATCATGAGGGACGCGCATAACGATACACACAAAATGTAAAACAAACGAAGGGGATTTAAAAAAAATAAATAAAACAAAACCCAGTTGCAAATACTGAACATTCATTATTTACAGACGGGGCAGCTGTTCGGATGGATCACTATGAGAAATCGGCCCCGTGTCCAGGCTTTACACATGCAGTGGAGACTTGCAAAGGTCAAAGGTCTATACACAGCAGTGCCAGACGCCACTAAAAGCTACAGTCATACACTTGGATAATAGTCGATTTTTTTTTCCTCTTTTGTTTTTTTTTTTTGTTGTTGTTGTTGGTAGGATTAAAAAAAAAACGAGGAGCAGCTTGAATGTAACTAACACGAACGAAATAAAAAAACAAAAGTCACTCACGAAATAATGAATCTAGTTCCTTATGTACAGATGCACATTCTTTACATCAGTTCGTCCTGCTATATTTGATGCCACACCAACAGGAAGAGGAAGTGGAGGAGAGCAAAAGGGGGAGGAGCTTCCTCTGTTGTTTACGTAAACGTCAAGATCCCTCGGCGACGATGGGGGAGGAAAAAAAACAGCTTGTTTCTTCAGTAACGAGGAATAAAACGAAAATAAAAAAAAATCAGTGCATTGTTTTAGGCAGGCAAATATTGCCGCCACAAATAAACAAACAAAACAACGGTAAAAATCAAATGGAAGGGCGTGTTAGACTTCTTCCATAAAGTTCATACAGCTATCAGGTCCACTTAATGGCTTCTCAACAGCATCTTGTATACAGTTCCTATAACTACACATAGATAATAAATATAGAGGTTCACATACGAACGTGTTATTTCCTCGGAGGTTTATACAAAGTGGTCAAGCGTGTGTTATATTTCAACCCAATAATCGGTGGTGTTTTGCTTATAAAAGCAATAGGAGTTTTGTATTGTGACATTATTTTAATGGAAATGCAGCACCGTTTTCTTTCGGTTCTCATTAGCATAATGCTATTACGGTAATGAGAGCCCAAAATCACATGTATTTTCATAAAAATGAAGACGGTTTTCCATTAAAACATTGTTTTGATGTGAATGTAGCACATTTCCCACTTAGTGTTACTCACCGTGATGGTTGTAAAGGCATTATTGAATGCTTTACTATTTAAATAACGTAATGAGAATCGATTTTGTGTACTGTGGTAATGAGAAAGCAAAAATCTAATCTATTCAGTTCTAAATTGAGACTGTTTTGCAATATAACACTACTTTCATGGAAATTAAGCAGATTTCTTTCTGTGTGCTCACTACCAGAACATCTTTATGCATTACGGCAACGAGAGCCCAGAATTAAAATGTATTTTTATAAAAATGAAGACTGTTGTCCATTAAAATATTGTTTTGATTTCTCCATTAGTGCTCATTACCATAATCATTATTAAGGCATTATTGAATGCTTTACTATTTAATTACAGTATTGAGAATGAATATTCTGGTAATGAGAAACCAATATCAAATGTATTCATTTGTAAACTAAGAATGTTTTGCAATGTAACATTATTTTGATGGAAATTAAGCAGATTTCTCTGTCTCTGCTCGGTACCAGAACGTCTTTATGCATTACGGTAATGACTCAAAATCAAATGTATTTTCATAAAAATTAATACAGTTTAAAATTTAAATATTGTTTGGATGTTAACTCAGCAGATTTCTCCATTAGTTCTCATTACCGTAATGCGTGTAAAGGCAGTATTGAATGCTTTACTATTTAAATATGGCTTTTATGTATTGTGGTAATGAGAAGCTAAAATTTATTTAGATAAATTAAGCAGATTTCTCTCTCGGTGCTCATTACCAGAACATGTTTATGCATTACAGTAATGAGAACTCGATATCAAATGTATTTTAATAAAAATGTTTATATTAAACCAATATATTAATGTATTTTCAGCACATTTCTCCCTAGGTGCTCATTACCGTAATGCATCCACGTGAGTTTTAAATGCAGCATTATATGCTTTATTACCCAAGCAATTACAGTATAGAGAATGGTTGTGTGTGGTGCTAAAATTATTATTTTGATGAACAATTTAACACGTCTCTCTGTGCTCAATACTGTAAAGTGATTTTCACACTGCAATACAATATTTTTGTTTTTTTACAAAAAAAATGACCATAATACAAGTATTTTGTTGAATTTGACTTAAGTAAAGGCAGTATAATATGCTTTGCCACCTAAATAATTGCAGTAATGAGTTTTGTTAAAACGTTAATGATATCCAGCATCCAATTATCTCAAATTATGAAAATCAAACTGTTTTGTGTTGCAACATTACTTTGATGGAAGTTTAGCACATTTCTACCTCAGTGCTCATTACCGTAATGCATGCAGGTGAGCTTTCTTATTGCAATACAGTATTTTTTACAGCAAAAAACAAAACTGAATTGCAATTAATTTGTACAAATGATAGCTTAAAGCAGGCATGTCCAAACTCGGTCCTGGAGGCCCGGCGTCCTGCAAAGTTTAGTTCCAACCCCAATCAGACACACGTGGGCTAGCTAATCAAGCTCTTACTAGGCTTTCTAGAAACATCCTTGCAGGTGTGTTAAGGCAAGTTGGAGCTAAAATCTGCAGGACACCGGCCCTCCAGGACTGACTTTGGACACCCCTGGTTTAAAGGCAGTATAATACACTTTGATATTTAAATACAGTGATGAGAATGATAAGTTTAAGTGCATTACGGTAATGAGAATTAAAGATAAAATGCGTTTAAATCATGAAAACAATATTGTAATGCCAAAACCTACGAAATGAGCTTCATTTTCTTTAACCCAACTCAATTTTAATACTCTTAATTTTAATTTTGGCCTGAAATATAACCCAGCTTTCACCTCGATTCGTTTCATAAGACTCCTCCGCCTAAACTATTAAACATGCTGCAAATGTACATATATGCTGAACTGTAAAAAAAACAAAAATAAAAATGATGACCACATAGTTACTCTCTGAAAAATATTACATAAATAGATAAAAAATAAATATGCTTTAAGTCACATTATTTAAAGAGGGAATCTCGTATGTGAACGCGTCTGCACGATGCCCGTTTGATCCGACTCATATCCAAATAAAAGAATCACAATCAGACGAATCAGAAGGAATCGTTCAGCAAAGCGAAATGAAATGCTCACGTCATTATCTACTCAACATAATGTCGTTTCGAACAATTATGTGCATTACTTACTTTAGTCACACTTTACCATATGGTTTCATTAGTTAATGCATTTACTAAATGAACTACAAGTAGCATTTATTAACGACATGTACTAATGCATTATAAGCATCTAAATTCATGATTGTTAACAACAGTTAATTTACTGTGAGTTAACAAAGAACTAACAATGTTCAACTGTATTTCCGTTAAATAAAATGAAATAGAAATACTGTATTAAACAGATTGCTCATTGTTTGTTCATGTTAGTAAATGCATTAACGAATGCAACCTTATGGTAAAGTGTTGCCCTTACTTTCAATTAAAAACCTATTAAATATGTGAGCAGCGTGAACACTCGTCTAAATATCTCCTTTTGTGTCCCACAAAAGAAAAACATAGTTAAAGCGACACGAAACTAAGCAAACAATGACGAAACGTAATTTCACGCAGAACGATTCCTCAAAAACGGCTAATGCTAATCTTCAGTCTTGCACAAAATAGCGAACGATCTGATATCACTTTAAAAGGGGGTCACCGGAAGAAAACCAAAAGTAATAAAACGAACGCAAGCCGATGTGCGAAAACAAACCACGAAAACGTCTCTGCTGAGCAATGGAGGAGGGGTCGGCTGTGATGTCATCAGACTCCTCCCCTTCCTGCTTCTCGTAGTGCTGTCGATGGCAGGTGTGCGGGTTTTAGTTTTCGATGCGAACCGATAAAACAGCATGCGTTATAATCCTGATGAAGGAGATGGTCCCGTGAGCAGCACTTCTGGAAAACCTCTCCCCTCTTTATCTTCTTCTCCTCTTTCTGGTTCATTTATTCACTCGTCCATTCACTGCGCTACACCAGCTGGTATCCTGAGCCGGACGTCTGGTCGTACTCTATTGTGTACTGCGAGGTCCAGTCTATGGGCACGGGCCGCAGGAGCCCACAGCAGCGCAGCTCGAAGAAATCGATGAGGTTACGCATGCAGCCGTGACTGTGAAGGGGAGAAAAACTGCACACTGAAAACATCTGAGTAACTCTAGCTTTCCTGCAGGATGCTATTAACAATAATGATTTCAAATACTAATCTGGAGATGATGATAGTTTTGAGTAAGATAGGAAGTTAGGTCCCACTTTACATTAAGTGGTCTTAAATACTATGTACTTGCACCCAAAAATAAATGCAATGTACTGCAGAACACCTGTTGGGTAGATTTAGGGACAGCTTTAAGGGTGGGTTAAGGTGTAAGAGATGGTCAACAGTGCTTGGCATACTATATGTAGGCAATAAAATGTTTTGCTAAAATTTTTAGAGGCAATTACAGACAACAGTACTTTTTTTAAGCACAAAATATTAACTAAGTGTCATTTTTTGAAAGTGAGATATGTACACCACATGAGATTTGAATAAAATAGACTTTACATACTTTGTTAGGATGTATCTCAGCCAAAAAAGTTAGAAGTACTACAACAACAAAAGTTAAATTTTTTACTTATTTTTGACTTTTATTTTGAAATGCGCGTGCGACAACCTTACCATTTGACATGTGAATTTTCATTTAGGTACGACCCCGAATATGTAAAGCGTGGATTTACATATATTGACGACAAAAAAGGCTTAAAACCTCAGGTGCTCACACAAAAGAGCGTGAAACCTTCTTAATTAAAACGACATTTCGAAATCAAACATCCCAGTTGCAAGGACAAACCTGTGGACTATTTTCAAAGACGACTCCAATAGCTGAGGCAAGTTTGATCTCAGTTAGTAATTTAGTACTTCATCTTAAAGTTTTTATTCTGATGATTTTAAAATTATATATTAATAGAAATTAGCTTAAATTCATATTTAGTTACTTATTTGTTCATTATAATATATTTTGAATATTATACACAAGTTAAATACACTGATATCTTTTATTATATTTTACTACAGTAAATCAAACATTTAATTTTCATAATGATCATCTAAGTATTATTTCTTTAAAATATCTTTAATTAATTAAATAAATCTTTTCAACCTTAATTTAAATTTAATTTGTACTTTTTTTACAATGACAACAAAATCTGTCATTATGTTAATAACAAAAATAATGTTTTTTCAGGACTAATAGCATTTTAAAATAAATTGTTTTAATTTATTATTAAACAACATTTTAAACCAATGTCATTGAATAACACTGTTTAACTCTGTCATTAACACTTTATTCCTTACTGTTACATGGTTTTTCTCTGTAAAGAATACTATAACACTGTTGATGGTTATATATATATATATATATAAATATAAAATAATGAGCAAAATATGAAACAAAGACTCACTTGAATGGGCTCTCGATGGACGTGGCTGTGACTTTAAAGTGCTTATATCTTCTGGCGTTCATTCGCTCATTTGTAGTAATGCCCAGAACAGCAATCTATGAAGGACACATGAAGAGACAGTCAACAAACCCACAGAAACACCCGTTTAAGATGATGAAGGCAGCGTGTGTTTTAGCTCACCTGATAGAGCTGGCACATGATGAGCACCGCGACCCACATGAAGTGAAAGACGCTGTTGAGAAACATCCAGAACATCCACGGCGAGCAGGTGGCGATCTGAGTGATGTAGATCCAGAAGCCGTCTTTAGTGTAGCTGGTGGCACAGTGAATCCTCCAGTCTGCAGAGACCATGCTTTCATTATTTTTTGATAACAGCAATGAAACAATAACTTTTCTGATTGTGTTTTTGTGCTGGTTTAAGCCTGTCATAGGTAAAGAAATATGAAAATAAAAACTGCAGGTAGGAGGCGAACAAGATTCTGTGGAAAAGAAATGAGTGATTCAATGATTTTATTATTCAAAACGGCTGACTCTTTTATAGAGGATGAAAGTGTCTGAATCAACTTACAATTACAGTATGTGAAGATTCTGTTGCGATAAGTGATTCACTGAATCAACCATTCAAATGATTCATTCAAAACAGCTGACTCTTTTAAAGAGGAATCTAGTTGCTGAATCAAATGAAACTAACAGTATGTTGACAAGATTCTGCTGTAATGAGTGATTCACTAAATCATTCATTCCAATGATTCGTTCAAAACTGTGGACTCTTTCATAGTTGATGAAAATGTCTGAATCAAACTACACTAACAGTATGTATTGAAAAGATTCTGTTGCAATGAGTGATTCATTGAATCATTCATTCAATTTATCTGTCCAAAACAGCTGACTGTCATAAAGGATAAAAGTGTCTGAATCAAATTACACTAATACTATATGTTGACAAGATTATGTTGTAATGAGTGATTCTTTGACTGATTCATTCAAAAGATTCATCCAAAACGGCTGACTCTTTTTAAGAGGAATGTAGTTGCTGAATCAAATGAAACTAACAATAGGTATTTTTGCTGTAATGAGTGATTCACTAAATCATTCATTCAAATGATTTGTTCAAAACAGCTGACTCTTTTATAGAGGATGGAAGTGCATGAATCAAATTACACTTACAGTATGCGTTGAAAAGATTCTGTTGCAATAAGTGATTCACTGAATCATTCATTCAAATGATTTGTTCAAAACAGCTGACTCTTTTAAAGAGGATGGAAGTGCATGAATCAAATTACACTTACAGTATGTGTTGAAAAGATTCTGTTGCGATAAGTGATTCACTAAATCATTCATTCAAATGATTCATTCAAAATAGCTGACTCTTTTAAAGAGGAATCTAGTTGCTGAATCAAATGACACTAACAGTATGTGTTGATAAGTTTCTGTTTTAATGATTGATTCACCGAATTATTAATTCAAATGATTTGTTCAAAACAACTGACTCTTTTATAGAGGAATCAAATAAAATGATCACTGAATCAAATGAAATTCAAAGGATTACACTACACTTTACAACATCAAGTATACTTACAACAAATGCATCCGTACATCATCCAACAGATCATGCACAACAGGAAGAACAAGTAGCCCATAAAATAGCGATGGTTTCCACTTCCTGTAGCAAACAATGAGGAAGAGAAAACTTAATGGACTCCAACAGCATGTGAGTCACATATCCTGCTTTGCATTCCCTTTCATACTCTCAGCTCATCTGCTTTAGCCCAAGAAATATCAGATTTAGATAGTAAGATGTCAAAAATACTCTTCTTTTTTTATATAGTTTTTTCAGCCTGTATGTTTTGTTAACAACTAATAAATAAAATAAAATAAAAAATACTCTTCTTTTTCACAAATAGTGAACAATTATTGACGTTTCACATTAATATCAGGCTGAAGAGCATGCTAGTGAAGGCCAGTGGATCAATAAAAAAAAATATTGGGAAATATGAAGCCATAATTCTAAGAAAAAAGTCAGAATTTGTAGTTTCTATCTTAAAATTCTGACCTTTAACCTCATAATTTAAAAAATAAATACACAGAAATTTGAGAGATCAGGCTTACAGGGATTTTAAAATCCAATTTAAGACTTTTTAAGACGATTATGACCAACATTAAGATCTTTAATCAAAATGTTGCACTCTAGTAATGATATTTGAACTATTGCAATAAAGAACTACAGCAAACAATAAGAAAATAAAAATGAAAGCACTGTTGGAGCCTTCAATGCCTATTAGAGGTCACATTACATGCACATAAGAAAATAAAGGCATGCTTAAAATTAATTAACACAATACTTTAGTGATGTCAGGATATTTTAAGGCCCAAAAGTTAGATTTTTTTATTTTATACTTTCTTTAGACCCTGTGAAAAATATGCATATGAACAGAATTGACATATAAACCTACAAACAATTTTTTCTAAATTAAGTTTAAGCTATAAACAGAGTTTATAGACATTTATAAATCAAATGATTTTCTCTGATTTTTTAAATGAAAGCAACTAAAATTCTAAGCTCTATTTAGATTTGTATTATATTTTATACCCTTTATACCCTGTGAAAAGCATGCATGTAAACAGAATTGACAGATATGAACCAACAAATCCAAAGGAAAATAAAGTTTTAAGCTATAAACAGAGTTTATAGCTTTAATCAAATGTTTTCTTTATAAAAATCAATTGTAGAACTTCAGAAACAAATGCTACTGAAAAACTCACCAACGCAGTTCCCAACCCACGGACAGTGGTGGTCAAACTTGGCGATGCATCGATTGCACACGGCGCAGTGTTTTGACCTGATAGGCTTCCGTATCTGCAGAGAACAGATCGGTAAACAATGATTTAGGTGCATGAAAATTGCCATGCAAATCAGACGGTTAAGTTATCAGCACGCTCGAGGAGTGTTCAATGTGTTCAAACAGTTGTGCAGAATGAAAAAAAGAGTCATACTTACCAAACAGGTGCTGCAAAATATGCTGAGATCCAGACTGCCTGTTTCTGCCAATTCAACTATAGTCTAGAGATAAAGAAGAGGAAAGCAGATTACAGTTTCTGAAGGAGCTGGATTGTTCCTTAGCAGTCCAAGATGTACTTTTAAATATTTAGGATTTGCTGCATCAGCCTGGATAGACATTTGTCCTTCAAAAGATGTTTGCAGCCATGCATTTGGGGAAGAACTCAGAACTGAAGCACCAAAATGTGCATGCAACCATAATGCATGTTATGTTTGTGTATATCAGACATCCAACACAAGATAACATAACAGCATGTGTTATTGCATGAGTTATCTCCCGCTCTAAATTACCAATAAGGAAAAAAAAAAATAGAGCTATTTTAATTTCTCTTGTTACACTTGCTCTAATTACAGCTGGAGTCATTTAGTTTTTGGTACCTTTTTCTTCTGCTCTTCAGATGCTTTGATAATACCAGGGTCGGACTTCCAGGACTTGCCAAAGTTGTAGAAAAGAGCCAGACTGTTGAGCAGGAAGGGCAGGTGGATAGTGACGAATGGGAGATGTGTGGACAGTTAAGGAAGTTACGCTTATTAAATTGTAGACCAATAAGTTCTTATGATCATTGGCGATTACTTGCTAAAAGTCTTAAAAATAGTTTTGAATCAGACTGATCTGAATACATCAATCACATCAATCTCACACCAAGACATTTTGTGTTTATTAGACTTAAGTCTAAATGGCCTCAGTTCATTTATAATAACCTTTATTTAACCAGGTAAGTCAATTGAGAACTCATTTACAATGATGACCTGGCCCAGAGGCAACATGAAAAGCAGATGCAGTACAAAGCAGTAGGGACACAATACAATAACAATTTCACAAATGCAGATAATAACATAAAACCAACAACAACAAAAAAAAAACTAAAAACAAGCACAGTCATCTTGAACTATTGACTGGATTGAATTTTTAAAAGATGATAGTGGAAAGAAAGTGCTGAGCTTTAAGGTCTGCTGCAGATGATTCCAAGCATCAGTAGCAGAAAACTGAAAAGAGTATCGACCAAATGAAGTGCGAACTTTGGGTATGCAAAGGTTAATGAAATTACTAGAGCGCAGATTTCGACATGTTTCCTGAATGTGAAGAAGTGATTGTAAATATAGTGGAGTTTTTCTAATAAGAGTTTCATAAATGAACAGAAACCAATGAATTTGTCGACGTGATTGAAGAGGAGGACAAGTCAGTGAAGAATAGAGTTGACAGTGATTAGTATTAAATGGTGCACCAGTAACAAAACGAGTTGCTGCATGATAAATAACATCTAGTTTGTGAAGAAGAGTTTTTGAAGCTGATCTGTAAATTAAATCCCCATAATCCAGAATTGGTAATACTGTTAATTCGACCATTATTACTCTTGCTTTCAGAGTTTTTTTCAAATCCAGCCAAAATGAAGGTGTTCTTGAATTTGTTTCGCCAATTTGAAACCGCTCACCAAAGCAAACTTTTGGGGAAATTGGGTTTTGACTCCAAAACACCTTTGAGCTACTATTGGTTTATTGCATTTATGCAATGGTGTGTGTGTGTGTGTGTGTGTGTGTTCAGGAAATTCGTCAAAAAAAGTTCATTCAAAGTTCTTTCATTTCATTTGAAGTATACCTGGGACTTTAAAGAGATCTATCCTTAAAGGAATCCGATAGTTGACAACTAAGAAATCTCAATCCACCAGAGACGATTAACCTCAGGATGTCCACACACACCAAAAAACAACCTAACACAAGCAGAAATTCTGTTTCTCCTGTGAGTGGGTTTGCAGAATTGAGCTCAGCCAACAATTACTGCAGTAAAAAACCTCAATCCTCAGAGGAGAAGCTCTATTGTTGGATGATAAAGGAGAGATTGAAACAAATCCAGCCAGAATGCATCGTTTCTATTCCTGAAGCACCTGGACATATGGAGGATCTGTGCATGCCTAAAAAATCCCTCAACATCCTCCAATCGCACAAACCACATTTCAGCAGCTTTTGCTGGAGAAGCGGATCCAGACATGAGTCACGTCTGGAGTGGTTTGTTCAATAGGCGAGGAAACGGTTCAGCTTTGAAAATAAATCCTATTTTCCCGCAGTTTGACAGCACTATAAACACAGAAACGCAACATGTGTCATTACCAGAAAGCAACTCTGCTTTCTCGTGTGTGTACTTCATTTCTCTCACACCTAATGGTGGGCGTCTTGAACAGAATCTTATATCACACTATGAGTAATCATATGCCACACTGACCATTTATAGCTTGAAATGGTGCTTATTTACATTAAACAACCATGCACAGTGGCAATTTTGGGATAGTTCAGGCAAATAAATAGTGCACAAACCAAAGGATCTGATTATTCATAGCAGATGGCTGTAACACTTCAGTTTAAATCACAATTCATGCTATTAACTATTGGCTTCTTATCACTTTTTTTAGTAGTTATAAAGTATAATTTTACTCTACAAACCTAAATCACACCCAAAACTTTCCACTTGACTATCAATAAGCAGATAATTAGTAGTTCATTGAGCTAATAGGCTTAGTTAATGATTTGTTAATACCATGCATTGTGTCTTAAAATAAAGTGTTACCAAAATGACCACCTAATAGAATTAATTGCATTATTTTGGACAACCAAAATGTGTGATTTAGATTTTTTTTGTGCATCTTTATCTCATATAAATAATATAAACTAGTGTAAAAGCACCAATATTTATAGCAGATTTTTTTCTTTATATACCATAATGCACACCACTCCACAGTCTTCCTCTCACCCACATTATTTCACTTAATGGTGTCATTTTCGCTGCATTCATCATGTGAGTCACAACTGATTTAAGAAATCCACTGAAAATGAGCCTTATCATGCATGTCAAAGCTGATGCAGCTGCCCAGAGTTGTGTTATTATAATGCATAGGTCTTTTTTCTTCGTGTATGAGAAGCTGCTTTTACAATCCACATGGAAAAAACACAATAAAGACTTGAATTTAAAACTCAACTTGAATGAAATCAGCTCCAGATTTAAAAAAAAACACACCATTAAATAATGGATATGAGTTTAGGACCATTGAAAACATCCAGATATTGAATTGCATTGCTAAATTCACATCTACATCATCTGTTCCTTTTATTAGGTCCGTCACACTGAGTGCACATTTAAATGGGGCTTCTCTACAAGATCATTTTCAGCAGTGAAAAGAGATATTCCTGTATAAACTGGGTCAATCCAGCGACCTAGTTTTAAAAAGGGACCCATTATGCGCCTTTTTACAAGATGTAAAATAAGTCTCTAGGGTGTGCATGTGAAGTTTCAGCACAAAATACCAGGCAATAATGTTTTATAACTCTTTGAAACTGACCCTTTCAGGCTTTGTTGCTCCGTTTTGGTGACTATCGCTTTAAATGCAAATGAGATTGTGCTCTTTTCAAAAGAGGGCGGAGCTACAAACGCCTATAAGTCAGCATTGCAGCAGATTTAAAACAGGACTAATTTTATTTTTGTGGAAAACTAAAAGATAGAAGGTAGTCTGTGCATCTAAATCTTCACATTTAGAATGTTTCGTAGTCTCTGACCTTATTTTCAGCAGGTGAAAACTAATAGTGGACGGCTGCTTCTCACTCAGTGCAGTTTATGCTAATGAGGGAGAGATCATCACCGATGGGCGAGGCTTTCCATCTCTGATGACACGTACAAAGGCAGAATGTCAATCAAAGTGTTTCTGCAGACTTTTTCAAGCTTGATTATTTACTTTTTACCCTTAGATGCTGGCTATTTTTACCACACAACTGTGTTTAAACCCCTTATAAAAGTATTTTTGCCAAATAGGTCTCCTTAAAGTTTGCACTGAAAAACAAAAGACAGCAGAAAATATGTTTTTTAACCAATATATAGAAATGTTTAGCTCTTGGATTTAAAAAAAGGTGGCCTGGTTTTCCTGCTGTCAGCGTTCTGATCCGGATGTTCATTTAAACTGATATAAACTGATGCACAAATGAGTCATTTCAGCGAATGCTAAATCTGCTGCTATTGTTAATTGATTTAAAAGCCACAGCAGAACATGCTGGTTAAGTGAGTCGCCTCAAATCCACATTGTAATCATCAGCAAAAAGGATATCATTCCAAAACCAGTAAAACCAGGTGATGTACATCCAGAATTTAGTGGCCAGATAGATGCCCAGAGGAAGAGCGCTGTGCATGGAGTGATCAAAGAAAGACCTGGAAACAGAGATCACGTTAGCTCACATCAGAGTCCATTAAAATACTGTGAATAACTATTTAGCATTTAAACGTTTACAGTGCCTTTTAAGAAAATTATGATCCATTTAAAATTATTTTAGACCTAGAGGTCAATATTTCAGTGAAGATTTTTTAGGAGCCTGCGGAGACCCCGCTGATAAAAGCTTCAGAAATAAATGGCAAGAAGAATATCTGATAATGTGGGGGAATTAAGTATTGAACACGTCACCATTTTTCCCAGAAAACGTATTTCTAATGGTGCTGCTGACTTGAAATTTTCCCTAGATGTTGATAACAACCAAAGCAATCCATTTATGCAAAGAAAACCAAACTAATTAGTTTACAAATGAAGTTCTGTTTAATAAAATGAAATGACAGGGAAGAGGTGCTGAACACATGAAGAAAGGGAGGTGTAGTTCGGCAGTGAAAGCCGAAACAGCAGCTGAAATCTCTTAGTTGTTCTTCAGCAACCCTCTGCTCTTCCTCAGTGTAGATGAAAATCAGCTGCTTCAGTCCAACATCTACATTATCAGGATGAAGATGAAACCAGTGTGGACATTTCAGCAAGACAATGATCCAAAACACAGCCAAGGAGACTCTCAGATGAATTTAAAGAAAGAAAATCAAGCTGTAGAATGGCCCAGCCAATCACCTGACCCCAATCCAATCGAGAAGACAAAATAAAGCTCAGATTTGATAGACGAAACCCACAGAAGCATCAAGATTTTGACGCTCTGTTACACCCGAGCAATGCATGTGACTTCATTCTCCATATGAGAGGCGTCTTTAAGCTGCAACACCACCTTTCATTAAGTATTACATACATTTCAGTAGTTCAGTTCTTTCTCCTTGTGTCATTACACAGAACACATTTTTTGTTTAGTTTTATTTTTATATTCGTCTTGTTTGGGTTTTTACCAAAATCTGCTTCAATTCCATGTCAACAGCTCCTTTAGAAATGTTATTCCCAGGAAAAAAAAACATGACGTGTTCAATGCTTATTTCCCCCACTGTATAGGCAGAAGCCTTGTATAATGATTGCGTGTGTGTGTGTCTTACTTGGACAGGAATTGCACGACGAGCCACATCACCGCATACATCACACCCTTGATGAGCCACGAATCAATGTCCAAATCAGCAATAAATCCCACCAGCCAAATCACCAGGAAGGGAGTTCCCAACATCACCTTCTGTCTGAACTCCTGCACACACGCAGAAAATGGACAGATTCATTAACATCCTCTAAATCAGGGTGTCCAAACTCAGTCCTGGAGAGCTCCAACTTGCTTCAACACACCTGGCAGGAAGTTTTTAGTATATCGAGCTTGATTAGCTGGTTCAGGCGTGTTCGATTAGGGTTGGAGCTAAACTCTCCAGGACACCAGCCCTCCAGGACCGAGTTTGGACAACCGTGCTCTAAATGAATACTGTAGGTTACATCTGTGAGACTTTTATTAGAGGGATAGTTCACCCAAAACTGACAATTCTGCCATCATGTAGTCACCATTCCCTTGTCCCAAACACAAAGGAAGGTATTTTGGAGAATGCTGAAATCCGGTAACCATAGACTTCCATAGTATTACTCTCTCCTACTATGGAGGTCAAAGGTTTTATTTGTCTTCTTTGGTCTTCAAAAGAACAATAAGTCACTCATAGAAGTGTAAATAGCGAGTACATTTTTCACTTTTGGGTGAACTGACCCTTTAAGTGCAGAATACAAATACAATGGAAGTCAACGGCTGCTTTTTTACCAACATTCTTCAGTATATCTTCCTTTGAGTCATACACAATTATTTTTTGAGGGGTGAACCAACTCTTGAATAGCATTAGAAGACCCCTGTAAACATTTTAAGGCCATGAAATAAAATAAAGTCAAGACACTGATTCCTCCATAGAGCAAATCTCATTGTGTTTTCCAGCATTGAGACACAGAGTCTGCATTATTCAGCATGCATTACGCTGATTTCACCCTGACGTCGTCTAGTTGCTCAGATGCTCTACCTTGTCCATCTTGAGTCGTTTCAGATATGACGGGCTGTCGTAGCCTTTGGCCTGTCTGGCCTCCTGCAGATGATTGATCATCCACACATTTTTCCTCTGTTTAGCCAGATCCAGCGGCGTCTCTCCCTGCCATCACAAACACTATTAGACATATGTACGGTACATAGCATAAATGAGTATACAGCCACAATTTTGATCAACATTTTAGTGAATATACACAAGTTTTGGTGCATTTTATTCAATAAAAATAAGAGTTTAGTTACCAAACGTCTTTAGAAATTCTTAATTTTTCCTCTTTTTAAAAATTGCATTTAACATTTTTCCACAACGTATTTTGGGTGTGCTGATTTTGGACTGTGATTTTTCCGGTTTTGGATTCAGTACTGACTAATCTATCATTTAAAAGAGAGTCCATATATTGATTATTGTGACAGGCCTACTAACATAACCTACTGGACTTTACCTTGATGTTCTGTGCATCGACGTTAGCATTAGCCTCCAGAAGCAGGCTAATGACTGTTGTGTTTCCAGCCAGAACCGCCCAATGTAGAGCCGTGTTCTTATGATATTTATCACCCAGATTCACGGACACATTAAACGTCAGCAACAGTCGTGTCGGGTCAACACTGCGGAGCAATGCAAGAAAACACAGCTATTAGATTTACAACTTAAAAAGTACTACTTGTAACAAAGGATATATATATATATATATATATATATATATATATATATATATATATATATATATATATATATATACATATATATATATACATATATATATATAATTTATTTATTTATTTTTTTAAGTTTGCCAACGGGTTTCAGCTGAAAAATATTAAAAAACACACACACACACACACACACACACACACACAGACCTGTGCAAAGTCATTTAATTATTAATCAAATACCATGATAATGATCATGCACAATATTGATATCTCAGGCACTTCAAAAATACTGTAAATAATAATACTTAATTATTTAAACTTGCTTTTTAAGAATATTCACATTATATTATCATTAACGTTCATATCAGTGTTTGAGACTTATTAGGAGATGTATTTCCATAAGCTATTAACAATTTTACATGTTAATCTGGCCCACAACATTAAACATTCGGACAATTTATAGGCGTTTTTTTGTTTTTTAGTACTATATAGTAAAGGTCAATTTGTTAACATCAGTTAATTAAACTTAAGTCAATGTAATGACCACTAAAAAAGTATTTATTAATCTGAGCTGGCGTTAATATCTAAGATAATGCCTAATAATGCATTAAAAAAAGTTTTAAATGTTTTATTAAATGGAGTTAATATCTCATAAATTTAAGTAAATTACATATACTTTAAATAACTATAATATGGCTACTTCTCAGTCGCGATTTGTTAATCGAGTTAAGAAAATATTAAAATGAGTTTAAAATAGATTAAATAAACTATAAGTTATGAGCTATTTTTCTCTGTTGATTTTACTAATAAAACATAAAAAAAATCATTGTTTTATTAAAATTAGGTAATATGTAATAAAATTAGTTAAAATATGTTTTTTTTTTGTAAATAATTTTGTTACGGCTATTTCTCACTGTTAATTTGCCTAATAAAAAAAACACATAAAAAATATGTAATTGTTTTACAAAATGAAGTTATAATAAATACATGAAAAATAAAACTAAATTAAAAAACTATAATAGGACTATTTTTCACTGTTGATTTATCTAATAAAACATACATTTTTTAATTTGTTTTATTAAAATTAGGTAATATGTAATAAAATTAGTTAAAATCTGTTTGTTTGTTTTTTGTAAATAACTATATTATGGCTATTTCTCACTGTTGATTTGCCTAATAACACATTTAAGAATTTGTAATTGTTTTATAACATGGAGTTAATAAATAATAAAATTAGTTTAAATTCGATTTTTAAATACCTATAATATGGCTAAATATCACAGTTGATTTGCTAAATAATAACAACACATAGACAAATATGTAATTGATTTATTACACTGAAAAAAATGATTCAAAGATGATTCCTTGGATAGAAGTAAAGTGGTTGTAAACTATTTATTTATGTTGAATTTAAACATACAAATTAAGTTGAACATTATTAAACTTAACTTGTCAGATTAAATTCAACCCATATAAATTATTTGCAACAATTTTGCAGACATCATTTTTCAGTGTAGATATAAATAATCATTAATTTTAAATAATAATAAAAAATAAATATATAAATAATATGGCTATTTATCACTGTTGATTTGCCTAAAACACATAAAACATTTTTAAACAGTAGTTGTAATAAAAAAAAAAATTTAAGTTGTAATTGTTTAATTAAATGGAGTTAATAACAAATAAAATTACATTTTTAATACCTATAATATGGCTAATTCTCACTGTTGATTTGCCTAATAACAACAACACATAAAACCATGTAATTGTTTTATGAAATGGAGTTATAATAAATAAATAAAGTATAAAATTGAATTAAAAAAACTATAATATTGCTATTTCTCACTGTTGATTTGCCCAAAAATACATTACAAGGCTGTATTTCATTTTTTTTATTATAAAAATAATTAATTATAATTATATTTTAAATTTGTGTCGCTTTTTTAATTATTTAATTATTTTTTATTATTATTCAAAGTTATTAACTAATGCCACTCAGATGTTTCTTAAATAACTACAATATGGCTATTTCTCACTGTTGATTTTAATGCCTTAACTAATGTTTAATAATTACCATGTATTGTAAATTGTCAATATTGTACTTCATCATGCTTTTGCAAATAAATTAGGCTCAAAACATTTGTTTACTCTGAACATGCAAGCACATAAAGCAATGCATTTAGTTTTTGTTGCTGTTGTTGTTAATAACCTGGCTACCAGATGACCACTTTACTATAGTTGTTATAAAAGATTACATTACTGCGAGTGTTTTAAAGTATTTTAACCAGTTATACTTTGCAACTTGGGTATCTAATATGGTAATAATATCATATATCAGGATTAAAGCTTCAGCAATACGTAACAACAGAAAAACATGACAGCATCAGAAGCTACCTGTGTGTCCGATACGCAGCCCACATCAAAGGGGTCATGCCATTCTGATCCATCATATCCACATCCTGGAGAAGCACAGAACAGACTTAAAAGTGAGATCAGACTGAGATCAAATGCATTTGTTATCGTTCCTAGAGGTCAAACTACTGTGGATGGAAATGTCACAGACGCCCCCTGCAGGCAGAGAATGGACAAATCCATCCTTTCCCATCAACCTTCAACATGCATTTGAGATCAGTATAGTTTTTTACATTACACATTCATTACTATAGCGTTCTTTTATACTAAACAAATAAATAAAAACAAATCAAATAATGCCAAAGATACACCCATACTAATATTTAAAAACAACTCAGCTACATTTATTTATCTATTTTAGGTGCGAATGCATTGTGAGGTTAATGAACTGTACAAAATGACGTTACACTAGTCATATTTCCTGTATAGCTCCGCCCACTCTGAGATCTGATTGGCTCATACCTGTCCCTTGGCGATGAGGTAAGCCACGATGGATGTGTGACCAAATTGAGCAGCCAGATGAACACAACTACACCCCTCGCCATCGATGAGAGACGGATCAGCGCCATACTTCATTAACTGCACCACCATGGAGAGATGACCTTGTCTGAATGACACACAGCAGACCAGAGGGGTCACACCATGATTACTGTGACACACTAGCAGTGCTCTTGCACATCATGCACATTTTTATCATAAACAGAATACCTTGCATCCAACAATGCAATGAATGATGACTGTTTTGAATTACTACATTACACTTTTTGCACTCACTCTCATTTTAATACATATTCAGTATTATGTTTTGTGTTTGTTTTCGTTATTAGTTTTAGTGATTTAATTTGTTTATTCACCAAATTTTTATATTTAAGACACTTTTCAAGCTTGTGTAATGGTTAAATTTACATCAAGCATTATTTTCGAACACCCCCTTTTACTTCAGCTCATTTTCATTCAAGTTTTACATTTAAAAATGTTTGCATTTCAGCTTTATTTTAATTAATCTATCCACTGAAAATGTTAATTAAAATGTATTAAATTAGACAATTCAATTACAACTTGAGAAACCGATGAAACTTTGACAACTGGATGGCTTATTAATACATTTTTGGGTGAACAATAGGCCGTATGCAATCATTTGTGCGCTTGTATTGCACTGAAAGGTCACCTTGTAGCCCAGTGCAGAGGTGTAGAGTTGAGATCTCCTCCCAGCTGGTCCACTATAGCACCTTTAGATATGTAATACCTGTGAAGAGAGCAGGCAGAGACGCTTCAGTAAGACATCTAAAGGCTGAGATGTAGCAAGCTGACTGTTGGCCATTGAGATTCGTCAGACATACTTGACCAAATCTACGCGGTTGTTGATTGCGGCCCAGTGCAGGAGCGTGACGTTTTCTTTGTCCGGCTGACGGACGTCATATCCGGCCTCCACCAGCTCACGGCAGCGCTCGAATATCCCATACCTGAGCACAAAAACAGATCAGTTTACAACACAAAACAGCCCTGAACAACACCCTTTAGACATTCTGCATACAAACACTGCATCAACAAAGTCAGGCTTTTGCTTATCTGACACAGTTTTGACAACATCATAGGTATCTACATGTTGCTGGATGGAAATTACAAATAATAAAAAACATATTTGTATATAGGGGTGTCACGGTGGCACAGTGGGTGGCACGATCGCCTCACAGCAAGAAGGTCGCTAGTTTGAGCCTCGGCTAGGTCAGTTGGCATTTCTGTGTGGAGTTTGCATGTTCCACCCCGTGATGGAGGGGGTTTCCTCCGGGTACCAAAGACATGTGTTATAGGGGAATTGGGTAGGCTAAAATGTCAGCAGTGTATGTGTGTGAATGACTGTGTATGGATGCTTCCCAGTGATGGGTTGCAGCTGGAAGGGCATCCGCTGCGTAAAACACATGCTGGATAAGTTGGCGGTTCATTCTGATGTGGCGACTCCAGATTAATAAAGGGACTAAGCTGAAAAGAAAATGAGTATGTATATATGTTTTCAAGATACTAGTCTTAAAGCTTAAAGTGCGATTAAAAGGCAAGGCAAGGCAAGGCAAGTTTATTTATATAGCACATTTCATACACAGTGGCAATTCAAAGTGCTTTACATAAACAGGAATAAAAAAGACAAGTTTAGGAACATAAAATGCAGACAATAAAAATTATTAAAAACAAATAAAAACAAAACAAAAGGCTTAATTAGATTATAGTTATGCAAGTCATTGTATAACAGTGGTTTGTTCTGTAGCCATTTTTTTTAATAATGTAGCATGTTTTTTTATTTTTATTTAATTTTTTTAAGAAATTGCTTTTATTCTAGCCAAAATAATACAAATATTGCTTTCTCCTGAGGAAAAAAAAACATTTTAGGAAATTCTGTGAAAATATCCCTAATCCAGTAGATATCATTTGAAAAATTTGAAAAAGAATAAATATTATTAGTATTATAATTATAGCCCTTATTTCACCAGGAAAAGTCAGATTGTGATTAAAAATCTCTTACAATAGCGTCCTGGACAGAATTTAATAAGTATTCAGTTCAGAAATAAAGATAACATCAGTCGTCTATCAAAACACACACAAAACAATGACAATGTAAAAAAAAATCTACAGGCTAATGTTTCAATTTCTAAATCATATCAAATCTCTTAAAAAGTATGTAGTAAAAACAACACTGTGTTTGCAGATTATTCCATGCAAGAGGTGCTGCATATTTAAAAGCCCATTTTTCCCCCATTTCAGTATTATAAATAATTATTGCACCGGAGGGATAATAATTTTGCCCTCAACTGTACAGAGTTCAAAATAGGCATGAGCCGGTATAAGATTCTGTCGATATGATAACCTTGAAAAAAATATCACGGTTTGACGGTATTGTGATCACTGCTCTGAAATATATTCTTTTTAAATGTCTGGGTAAAAAACAACAACCCCCCTTTGAACACAGTATATTTTAATTTGGGAAACATTCAAGATATTTTGTTACAGTAAACATGTCGGGCTAAATAATTCAAATGAATCATTGACTTCTGCTGTCTTCATTAGTTTCACAAACACAGATTTCTTTACAATTTAAAATGGCATCTTTGGATATTTTGTCTGTTGAAGATACTGTTGTCCTAAAAAAAATGTAAATAAAAAAATCTTTCACATACCTTATGAATGATATTACAAAAACAAGGTTTTAAAACCTTGACTTTCCAAACCGCGGTATACCTTGAAAACAGTTATCGTCCCACGTCTATTTCATACACATTTATACTACTAAAATTCCAGGACTTCCAAAACATCCAGGTAAATATTCATGACATAATGCTTTATGTAATATCTACATACATGTGGTAAATAAGAAAAATTGCAGGTTCAAATTTAAAGCACATAAAAAAATATGTGACTATCTATATAGTTTATATTTATATCTGTAAAATAGTTTTTAAAAAGTATCCTGCTGTCTGTGTGAAAATTGTAGAAATGTTGGCTTGCGTTGTCATTAGAATAGCAGTTAGAAATTGCTTCTGGACACCACACTCAAAATATGTCTGGAATTACGGTGAAAGCGAGTTGCTTACGGTGAAAGCTGAAACTGCGAGTTGCTTTTTACCCCAAGCAGAGAACGTCACGAGGGACGGACAGCGCAATTGTATTTAAATTATTGTATTTATGCAACATCACCATCTCAAATATATTCAAGTACACAGATATTTCTTTAAAAACTTCCATGAATTTTGGGTTTATTTATTTTTCCAAAACTTTACCAGGAGTGGAAAATGCCCTGCTAAAATTCCATGACTTTTCCAGAAACGTGATTGTGTGTGTGTGTGTGTGTGTTGTGTCCAGACTCACTGGGTGGCTTTGACGATATCCCAAGTGCTGTAGTCGTCCACGTGGCTCTTGCGGCTCTCGTTATAGCCATGGTTATAGTGGCTCTGGGGTTTAATTTCCTGTAGGATAAAAACACAGTCGGTTTAGAAGGATGAGTGATGGATCATCAAACCGAGGATCTTGGACTTGACATCCTATACATATGGTCGATTGCAATGGTGTCAACTCGCTCTGATATCTCAATCAAACACAAGCTGCTGAAGTTAAAGCGCTTTTAAAAGCTGACTAGAGTTTTCTGCTGTTCTGAATTCAGAGTTTGATGTATTATCATACAAACCATTTTGTTTTGTCAATCTTGCAAAACTATGATAGTATGTACAAAATTGGAAAAATCAGATATCGTGATATTGGACTTTTCAACAACAAATATTGCGATATGAATACAGTTTCACAAGATGTCTTCAAGATGTCTTAATAGCACTATTTGATGGTTTTCTGGGGAGTCTAACAGTAGTCAGGTGCAGAAAATAATCTTGTTTTTACTTTGAAATATTTCAAATTTGCACTAGAAACAAGACAAACATTCAAAGGAAGAAAAACAAGACTTTTTTGTTGCATCAATCGTATAAATTCCATATAAATAAAGTAATTAAGTACAATTCTGTGGCTCCTGGTCAACTCTAATGCTGACTCAACATGACATATTCTGTGATTCAACTATTGCAGACATTGTGATATCGATGCTGGAACGATATATACAGCCCTAATGCAGAGGTAAGCTAATCATAAATGATCCATACGCATAATTTTAATGAAGTACCAAAAAAAGTTGTTTTAATACTAATGCTCAACAATAAGGTGTTCTGTAACTAAAAAGTTTGTTTAACTTTATAATTAGAGTAATAAAGCCGTCAGACGGTCAGATGAACGGTGAGAGTGATGACCAGCAGATGTCCAGCTTGAGCTCTATTGATTGGTGGGAAGGGTCTCTGTTTATTGTATTAAAGGCCCAAAACTGGAGAGACACTGATGTTCAGAGGAAACCCTAAAAACTGCCTGAACTAGTTTGACCTGAACCTCCAGCTTTACCCTGTACACCAGTCACAACTCCTTTGCATTCTCAAATTTATTTTAGATTTAGTATTTTATATTATACTTTGTGATTATACTATTGCTATAATTTTTTAAATTAATATAAAATATTTTATGTAGTTTTAATATTAATATAATCACAAAAGCTCTATTGATTGGTGGGAAGGGTCTCTGTTTATTGTATTAAAGGCCCAAAACTGAAGAGACACTGATGTTCAGAGGAAACCCCAAAAACTGCCTGCTCTAGTTTGACCTGAACCTCCAGTGTTACCCTGTACGCCTGTCACAAGTACTTTTCATTCTCAAATTCATTTTATATTCTATTGTAATTATTTTTAATTAATTAAACTTATTTTATATTGTTTTACTATTTATTATATATTGCAATAAATATATTTTTATCTATTCAAAAAAATAATAAACCACATTTTATTACAATCATTAGAGCTCTATTGATTTGTGGGTAGGGTCTCTGTTTATTGTATTGAAGGTCCAACACTTGAGGGACGTATTCAGAGGAAACCCCAAAAGTTATCTAAACCCATTTGACCTGAACATCCAGCGTTACCCTGCACACGTTTCATGGCTGCTTTTCATTTTCACGTTCATATTATATAAAGTTTTATATTATGCTTTGTTATTATACTATTGCTATTATCTTTAATTAATTTAAATTATTATTTTTAATGTTTATTATATATATATTTTTAGAAATATTTTTATAATATATTTTAAGAAATCTTTATAATTTTTAAAAAAATAATAAACTAAATTTTATTATGATCATAAGAGCTCTATTGGTTGATGCCTAGACTGCAGCTCTGCACAAGATGTTTGGCCAGTAGAGAAATGGTCGCACCCAACTAAGCCTGGTTTTTCTCAAGGTTTTTTCCTTCACTTTCGCCAATTGGTGAAGTTTGTTTCTCGCCGCTGTCAGCACTGGCTTGCTTGGTTCGGGACTTGTAGAGCTGCGCATCGATGGATTTGCTCTTCAGTGTTTGGACTTTCAGCAGTGAAACTTAAACCACACTGAACTAAACTGAACTTCAACTCTAAAAAACTGAACTGACACGGTTTCAATTCACTATGATCTTCTATGTGAAGCTGCTTTGACACAATCTACATTGTAAAAGTGCTACAGAAATAAAGAAATTTAATCGGTAGGAAGTGTATCTGTTTATTGTATTTAAGATCCAATACTTTAGGGACACTGATGTTAGATGTAGAGAAACCCCCAAAAATGCCTGAATCAGTTTGACGCTGAACACCAAGCCCTTTTTAGAAATAAAAACATTTTGTTTATTTTATATTTGGTTTAATTAGATTTTAAAAACTGAGAAAAAGATGGACTCGGTGAACAAGGTAACACTGGAGGTTCAGGTCAAATTTCTAATAACAATATAAAATAATTACAAAGTATAATAAATATCCATTGTATCCACATAATTCCATTATTTTAAATGTATTTTATATAGAAATTCGTTTTGCTATAACATACATTAATTGCATTTTTAATTACTCTAAATTGTTTTATATTGTATTTATTATATATACTGAAAAAAATTATTAAACAATGAGAAAAATACTAAAATTTTGTAATTATAGGCTACAGGCAAAGAAAATTATTCATTCTAATAAAATATAATATTAAACAAAGCAGTTGCGTATATTTTGGGACTTTTTATCAAGAAAACATGGTCCTCATATCGTCAATGCAATATGGAATGCAAAAACAGTCTCAACTTACTGGAAAGTACCGTAATGTAAAGCTCAATATTTCAAAACCACTCACAATGCAGATCGAACCTTATCATTCTAATGTGGTGATCAGACTACAGAAATAACTCTCCAGAAAAACACATTACACTTTCAAAAATCATAAATTGACACAGTAAATGTTGTCTTTAAATTTACATATTAACTTTACAAGTAGGCAAATATAACACCTGCAAAAGATGCACTTTTCAGTGGGGTTTAGACTGCGAAAAGGTAAAACCAAAAATGCTGAAATGATCTGCTTCAGCGTCACTGCAGGACTTAATAAAGCTGGCTCCATTCAATATCTTTGCAGCGGGTATCAGAACAGTTGGTCTAATTGAATCGGGGCCCTAGTGTTCATCTTGCCAGTGAGGAAAGCGGCTCTTACAGCATCATGTGACACACACTGAGATGCTCAGCTTCCTATTCACACAGGAAGACACACTAAGACCCAGCTTGGTGCTTTATCAACAGCTTCTGGTAATGATGTTAATTACCTCATCCATTTATATCTTCAGCTCAAATCAACATCCGTCAGAACAAGCCTGGACTGTACTGGCCATGCAATCATCATCGCATATAAAGATGAAGTCAGAATTATTAGCCCTCCTGTATATTTGTTCCCCAATTTAGAAGATTTTTTTCAACATATTTCCAATTATAGTAGTTTAAATAACTGATTTATTTTCTCTTTGCCATGATGACAGCACATAACATTTGACTAGATATTCTTCAAGATACTAGTATTCAGCTTAGAGTGACATTTAAAGGCTTCACTAGGTTAATTAGGGTAAAGTTAGGGTAATTAGGCAAGTCATTGTATAACAGTGATTTGTTTAATAGACAATCGAAACAAATATCGGTTTAGGGGGCTAATAATATTGACCTTAAAAGGATATTTAGAAATTACAAGCTGCTTTTATTCTAGCCGAAATAAAACAAATAAGACTTTCTCCAGAAGAATAAATACTATAGGACATACTGTGAAAAATCCCTGAATCTGTTCAACATCTTTTGGGAAATATTGAACAAACAAAAACAATTACTGGAGGGTAGATAAATTAGACATCAAGTGTAAATAACTTAAAATGTTTGCATGATTTAACTCTGTATTAATCAAATTACACATGTAATACATGCTTAATAAACCACAGATATGCTAATTAAATCAAACACACTATTTACAAACTGAACCACACAAGCAAAACCACAAAGCTAAAATATGTTCAAGTGTTGCACAAGAACATGCTGCAAAACCTGATCACTTCAGATTGCTCAAAGCATTTTGGGAACTCATTGCCTCAGAGCATTTGTGTAACTTGTTTTTTTTTAAAGTTAGTAGATCTTTCGTTTTTATTTTGTACTACAACAACATATTTATTGACTTCAGACTTCAACTTTGAAAACTGGACTGACATGGCTTCAATTTACTAGAACTTCTTTGTTAAGCTGCTTTTACACAATCTACATTATAAAAGTTATAATGTCTTTTTTATTTCACTTAATACTAATGTTATTTTAGCCCCCTTGATTAATATTATAGTTTTTGTTCATATTTAAACATGTCATTACATTTTGCATTCATTTCGGGTAATTATTTTAAACGTTAATTTCATTTCTTAAAAAAAAAAAGTCTATATAGTTTATAATAATTTTTTATTTGAGTTTTCTTGTTAGATTGTAAGTTTAATCAATCTCATATCCGTATGAAAGTATATATTTATAGCAAATTATAGTATATAAAGTTTTTAAAACATTTAAAAATAATTATAACAATAGTCCTCATTATATTGTCCTATAAAATAGTTTAAAAAAACTAAAAATAATTATATTCATCCATCCATCCATCCATCCATCCATCCATCCATCCATCCATCCATCCATCCATCCATCCATCTATCTATCTATCTATACTAACGGTCAAAAGTTTGGGGTCAGTATGATTTTGAAATGTTTTAACAAGCTTCTCCTGCTCACCAAGGCTGCATTTATTTAATCAAAAATACAGTACAGATTGTAAAATGTTATTGCATTATAAAATAACAACTCAAAAGTAGTTTATAATTTAACTAATAATTTATTCCAGTGATTTTAATAATACATTTTCAGCTTTATTATTCCAGTCTTGGAGTCACATGATGCTTCAAAAATCACTCTAGCAATAATAATTATCATTATTATTATTATTATTATTGGTAGTAGTAATAAAAACAATAATAACTGGATCAATCATTTCATTAGAAACTACATACAATCATTTTAATAAATATTTAACAATTTGTTTTACATTTAATAAATGCCACCTTGATGAACAAAAAATAAATAAAAAATAAATAAACATGAAAAAAAACTGACCCCAAACTTTTGAACGGTATTGTATATCTATCTATCTATCTATCTATCTATCTATCTATCTATCTATCTATCTATCTATCTATCTGTCTGTCTGTCTGTCTGTCTGTCTGTCTGTCTGTCTGTCTGTCTGTCTGACAATAAAAGTTATTGTACAGCAGTCACATATAATTGTTGCATGCCAAGAATATATTCATAATTAATTATGTACAATTTTTATTAATGTTAAATTAAATGAAGCCATGTCTGGAAATTTCTCAGGTATTTTATTAATCTTTATTTCTCTTTGAAAAGGGTTGTATATTTACTATATTACTACCAGTGAACAAAGTCGTCCTATAACATAAATAAATAAATAAATAACATAAGATGCTTTGAACACCGCCAACAAGATGCATTAAAATAAAATGACGTTTAAATAAAAGTTTAATTTCTGCTTTTATTTTTCACATTTTCTTTTAATTGCACTTTTGTTCCAATTAGCAAAAGAGCATTCATAACAAAGCTTCACATCTGGATAGCATTAAATATTCACCATTAAACATAGCATTAAATGTTCACCTAATTTTACTTTTGCTCCAGATTAGACTTTAAAATAAAAAGTTTTAGGCAGTTTTATTTCTTTTTAACATATTCAAATATTTATTGCTTCAATAGAGCTAATTATGAAGTGCACTTGGCTGTGTTTTACAAAATTATTACTGTTTGTTATCATGTTTGTGATGCTATATTCTGGCCTGCATTAATTTCCCAATGAAATAAAACTGAATTGAAATTGAAAATAAAAGTTGTTTAACTTAACTTATTATAATCTAACCTTTCAATGACGCATCACAAGCCAAACGGCCACATGCAAAACACCATATCTATCAAAGCTCCACATTCAAGCCTCTAAATGAACCAGCTCAACACCAGATAACACAAAAGATAGACTTTTGCATAAAATATTCAACTTGCTTGTTTAAATTCAGCCCATATAAACTGTTTGCAACCACTTACCTTAAAAAAACAAATTAGTAAATTTAAAGAATCATATTTTAAGGTGTGCTTGGGTCAGCATGACCATAAAACACTTATTCACTGAAACTACATGTGTGTGATGAGCTCTGGTCTGCCTGAGCATGAATAATTTACAGCAGGAGGTCCCATATGAGCAAGCTGTCACACACACACACACACACAATAAACTCAGGGTTTGCACAGAAAAGTATGAAAACACAACGAACAAACTTAAAACTCTTGATTTAATTTCCATTGATCTCACGTTATGACATACAAAACCTTGATTAACCTTAAAGAAGGTGTGCTATTTATTTATAAACCATCGCAGTATAATGCTGTCCGGTTCGGCGGGTTTTTAAAAAGATCTTGATGCACATATGAACGTACGGATTTGTGCATTTATTTATTTTAAATCACATCTCAGAGATTAAATATAGGGTTCACATTTGTTATGTAAGAGCTGATGTCACACAGTATGGCTGCTTTTGTTGATAAACTAAACAATAATAATGATCTGTAATGCAGGTGTCTATTGAAATCATAGTTTATATTATGATGATTATAATTACTATTCATTCATTCATTCATTCATTTTCTTTTCAGCGTAATCCCTTTATTAATCTGGGGTCGCCACAGCGGAATGAACCGCCATTATTACTATCATTAATATTAAGACTTTCATATTATAAATCATTTATTGAGTTTTGATACTATGTCTGCTTTTGTTGATAAACTAAACAATAATAATTATCTGTAATGCAGGTGTCTATCGAAATCAAAATTTATATTATGATACCATAATAACAGTATTATTATTTATTACTACTAATATTAAGCACTCGGACTTTGATATTACAAATCATATATTACGTTTAAATAATATGGCTGCTTTTGATGATAAATTAAACAATAATAATTATCTGTAAAGCAGGTGTCTACTGAAATCAAAGTTTATATTATGATACCATAAGAAAGGTATTATTATTTATTATTAATATTATTATTATTTTCAGTACTCAGACTTTTATATCACAAATCATAGTTTAAATTATGATACCATAATAACAATTTTATTATTTATTAATACTATTATTAATAATATTAAGCACTCAGACTTTCATATTACAAATAATATATTATGTTTAAATAATATTGCTGCGTTTGTTAATTAATAAACAATAATAATTATCTGTAATGCAGGTGTCTATTGAAATCAATGTTTATATTATGATACCTTAATAACAGTACTATTATGTATTATTACTATTATTATTAATACTAAATACTTTGACTTTCATATTACAAACCATATATTAAGTTTTGATACATTTAAGGTAGGATATTTACAAAATATCTTCTTGAAACATGATCTTTGTTTAATATCCAAATGATGTTATAAAAACTAACTAGTTAGTAATAATAATGACTAGAAACAATACTGAACACTCAAACATGGGGTCTTCAAACAGTGTTCTTCCATTTATTCCCAAAAAGCACCATATTTAGACCGTCCCGCATGTCATTTATTATATTTTTAATAACACTGTCATGATTAAGCAACCATAATTTCCCCCAAATCATCTTTATTCATTCATAAACTCCAAAACTACAGGCATTTATATACACAAACCTATAATTGTTTGATATGAAACTTCCTAATATCAACTCAACTATCAGTGCCAAGCCTAAAATTAACTATTAAGACACCAAAATATTTAAATCACCCCAAATAATACAATGTCTTCACAATTATAGATGCGAGACATACGAGTATACAACAATGACAGATCTGTCATCACATTAATGTCACATTCACAAAAGAACAATCATCAAAATGCATTTGAACACAATCGACAGGCTCATACGGTGCAGTAAAAGCACATTAATTAAACAACACGTTCAGATTAATCGTCAAATATGATGCTAAATGCTGCTGATGTTTGTGAATGGTGCCTGTCATTTAGATGCAAACGCAGCACAACACAGTGTTTACGCCGAAAATACCGTAATATCACCTGTGCCACTGCACAATATGAAGTAAAAGCGCACATCTGGATTAAAACTATATATCAGACACACAAAATAAACACAAAATAAAAATAAAATCTCTGATTACGGAATGCTAACGTTAGCACCAATGCTAATACGCAGCAGTGGGGGGTTTCAGCCCCTCTGTTTCCCTATTAAGAGTTATCAGCAGAATTGAAGTAACGGGTCGTGAAATCCCCAGGGCTTCATTTAGGAGCGCTACTGTGATGCAGTGACATAACAGCAATGTTTTTTTTTTACCTCGGGATGG